ACAATTCTTGCATCCATTGAACTTGTGAGTTTTTGGAGAGTTTCTGCTTGAATTTCTTTGCAGGATGTCAGAATAGCCTCCCAGAGCTGCTGTTTGGATGTGAACTGCCTCCCACCCTCATAGATCTTTTGCTTGAGGATGCTCCAAAGGTTCTCAATAGGGTTGAGGTCAGGGGAGGATGGAGGCCACACCATGAGTTTCTCTCCTTTTATGCCCATAGCAGCCAATGATGCAGAGGTATTCCTTGCAGCATGAGATGGTGCATTGTCGTGCACGAAGATGATTTTGTTTCGGAAAGCACGGTTCTTCTTTTTGTACCGTGGAAGAAAGTGGTCAGTCAGAAACTCCACATACTTTGCAGAGGTCCTTTTCACACCTTCAGGGACCCTAAAGGGGCCGACCAGCTCTCTCCCCATGATTCCGGCCCAAAACATGACTCCGCCACCTCCTTGCTGACGTAGCAGCCTTGTTGGGACATGGTGGCCATCCACCAACCATCCACTACTCCATCCATCTGGACCATCCAGGGTTGCACGGCACTCATCAGTGAACAAGACTGTTTGAAAATTAGTCTTCATGTATTTCTGGGCCCACTGCAGCCGTTTCTGCTTGTGAGCATTGGTTAGAGGTGGCCGAATAGAAGGTTTATGCATAACTGCAAGCCTCTGGAGGATCCTACACCTTGATGTTCGCGGGACTCCAGAGGCACCAGCAGCTTCAAATACCTGTTTGCTGCTTTGTAATGGCATTTTAGCAGCTGCTCTCTTAATCCAATGTATTTGTCTGGCAGAAACCTTCCTCAGTGTGCCTTTATCTGCACGAACCCGTGTGTGCTCTGAATCAGCCACAAATCTCTTAATAGTACGATGATCACGCTTAAGTTTTCGTGAAATATCTAAGGTTTTCATACCTTGTCCAAGGCATTCAACTATTTCACGCTTTTCAGCAGCAGAGAGATCCTTTTTCTTTCCCATATTGCTTGAAAATGGTGGTCTGCTTAATAATGTGGAACATCCTTCTTCAGTAGTTTTTCCTTTAATTGGGCTCACCTGGCCAACTAATTATCACAGGTGTCTGAGATTGATTTGAGTGATCCAAAGAGCCCTGAGACACAATACCATCCATGAGTTTAATTGAAAAACAAAAAATTTAATCTTTATGACACTTAAATACAATTTGCATAATAATTTGGAACGCAGTGTAGATCCAGCTCTAGTGTTATGGCACAGAGAACAACGACAAAGGCAATGAAATGCAGTTGTGAGAATTACAAGAAAGCAATTAATGTCCTTAAAAGGAATGCACTGGTATGCTGCATGTTAATACCAACAGATCAGATTTTAATACATGGATGCAATGGATCACTGCCTATCTACAGATTAGAAGATTATTTAATCCGATTACATCGCTTTTACTGAAATGACACATGCAGCCACATGTAATGTAGCGTGTAGATCACTGCTGATGGCTGTTCAATTATTCTGAAATAGCTGAATCTGTGAGCGAGGTGCATGTGTTACCTATCTGTGCAGCATGTGGCCGGCGGAAGGGATTGCGAGTCCTCATCACATCTTTGATACGCTCCACCTCCTGCTGGTAGCGGCGCCGATCCTTCATGGCTCCCTCCTTGGCCTCCTTCAGCGCACCCTCCAGGGCCTTAACTCGCTCAGCTGTAGAACGAAGACGTTTCTCCAGTTTTGGAAGCTCACAGCGAAGATCTGCGTTGTCACGCACCAGCTGTGACACAGACAGGAACACATAGAGTAAGCCGTGGGATTGAGGAATTGACTGTACATGTCAGTGACCATGTGATACACCCCCTAAAATAAAACATGTATCGATGAGATGCAACAGATAGCAATACTGTTCGCAATCCTTTCTCTAGAAAGCATTTTTTTTTCCTGACAGGGATAATAACTTTCTGAATACATTTTATGAAGAACTTGTGTTTTGAATCATTTTGTCATTTTGCTCATTTGTTTTGAAGAGGAGGAATAAGAACATAATTTATTTTTCTTCCTAACTTCAATTGTTCCACCACTTTCACTGAAAAGGCATCCTCCAGTTTGGCAGCGTGAGGGATCCAACCCTGTTGTGTCAAGAAGAGTATAACAATGGGTATAGGATACAGCAATGGCCGTAGCAAAGTGGCCTCATAACCCCCTTGAACCGGAACATTTCTGTCAGTTAGAGCAAAATAGGTGCAGCGAGGTGGAACACAGGAGTGTCAAGTATGACCTGATGGGAAAATTGAAAACACAGCCTATAGTGCTTTTTATGTTGAGGAAACATGCTTAACAGCTACCTGAAATTGAAAGAGAGCTCACCAGAAAAATAGGTGTTAACACCAAACCACCAGCTATACAGCTTACTTGTTCATCGTGAAGGAAAACTAAATGTATGGATTTGTAATACTGCTCACAGCATTTCACAGCAAACATGAGAAACCAATGACTGCACACCTTTAACACAGAGTGGCGAATTCACAAAGAATGGATTGCAGGCACTGATCCATGAATTGAGCATCACTTGCAACTATCTGCTCGTTCTCAAGGTCCAATTCACAAAAGATCTTGCTCTAATGATATTACAGCACAAACATGGCCATAACGTTGTTCAGCTGAGTACAATTTGCCCTTTATTTGTGTCTGATTGCAATTACCCATGTGGCAAATTATAAATGCTGCCTTTGCTCCAAGAAAACAGTTAGCAGAACAATGGCAGAGAGAAAAAGAAAACTGAAATTTTCATGGTGCATGCTACAGCTCCTGACCGACGAGATGATAAGGAAATTAATTTAAATGTGACAGTGAGAAACACCCTGGTCTGTCAGTGCACTTCAGTTACCACCAACTCTCTGAAGACACTAATTATTTCACTGTAACAGCATGTGGCGATTAGTGCTGATCTTTGCGAATTTGACTGTATTTGCATTGAGGCTCATTTGCATAGAATGGAGCCAATTTTGTACCACATGTATGCATATTACCTCATGTATATGCATGCAAACAGCACAGGAGCACAGAGACGCTATTTGCCTGGCGGCGCAGTTAAGGGTGTATTTCATCCTCTGAGAACTACATGGTTTCTTTTGGTCTTATTTGTGCAGGTTTAGCAGCTGCAAAAGCCGTGGTATCCTTTTGTGAATTTCGCCCACTAGAGTCTGCTGGTATGTGATCACGCAAACTAATACAAGACGTGCTGGTTTAGCAAACAGGCAAAGTTATCTAACAGGCAAGGCGGGCAAAAGATTGAGGAATCTAACGGAACCACCTGAGGTTTGGCTGTACTACTTTATTCTTTGGTGGTGAGTCGTTTTAAAGGAAAAAACAAAAAAAACGGAGGTAGTATTTTCACAGGAGGTAAGTGGTGCTCTGTGCGAAATCATGACCATGCAGAGACGAATGACGGGCAGACATTACGATATCTGTAAAAAGGCAGAGAAACTCATACATAGCCCCAGTGCACTGTCCACTGCCCGTCTTTGGGAGTCTTATCACTTTCCACTGGGAGCTCGCTGATTTATGACCCTGACTTTCATCTTCCATTCCCACAGTATCAGCAGGTGGTGGATGGGATGGAGTCTCCCAGCAGTCACTTTAGGATTGGTTTTCTGCCTGACACTGTGCTGCAGTGCAGCTCTCACCAGTCTGCCAGCATGAGTATATATGTGCCAGTCTGCAGAACGTTTAGCACATCAACACTCGGTCCACTGCTGTAGTCCATTAAGGAATATTAAAGAAAGATGTGAAGTGTGTGTGTGTGTATGTGTGTGTCTAATCTGTCTGAGCACAAGGCTGCCTTTGAGAGGTTGTGTGCATCAGCTAGAGAGAGCAGAAAGATTGAGCATGTTTGTGTGCACCTGCATGATGAATTCATTTGTGTTTATCAAATCGTAGTAACTGTTTTATGTTATGGTTTCCTTTTCCCTGAAAGCAGCACGGTATACACCTCCTGCTGCTCTGTTTTCAAGGAGTCTTTCATGTGAAGTTGCAGTTGTAAGATGATTGATGGTGCTAGCATTACTTTTACCCATAAGAGAGCATTGACAAACAACACTCACTGCTCTGTATTTTAATTTAGCTCCCTCTTTATGTCCCCTTATATTCTATCCAGCTAAGCACTTCTGCCTCACTGCTGTGATAATCAGACTTCCAGGCTGAAGGAAACCATATAATTTGTCCTAATTCTTAAGAGAAATGGTGGACAGGTGAAATGCTATTTTCTGCCTCCTTCGCTATAATTTATAGCTCTGCAAGTGCTGCTCATTGTTACCTGTTTGTGAACCTTTGTAAGCTGGTCCAGGTTGTTTTCAAGAAAGGAAATCTTCTGTTTCTGGGTGATGTATCCCCCGCTATCATCAGGCTCCATCTGTGCACTCTGTCAACACAAACAGTGGAGATCTTTTAAAATCGTAAAAAACAAAATCATTGAGAGACATTTCAAATTCTGTAGTTCCAAAAATATTTGCACATACAGTCTAGGTGAAGCTGCATGTTTTCTAGCTACAGTGGTGACGTGTTGTTTGCCTTACTTTTCTCACTCGAGTCGTGAGGTCTTGGACAAAAAGCTTGCGGAGGTTGTGCAGGGTGTAGAGCTCACGAGCCTGCAGCATGAGGGGAAAGAGGAAATAGTGCAGTTAAAGCAGTTAGTAGAGAGTATTTAGTGGATGAGTGGCTGCTGAGGGAGCCAAGTGAGTCGTGACAGTAAATAACGACTTACAACAGTCTCTTCCAGCCCTTTGAGGTCCCGCTTTGATTGCTCATGTCGCTCATGGAGAAATCTATAGATAGACATGTAGATGGTCAGACGGATAGATAGAAAATTCTAAATGAACTTCTCTTTACCCTAAATGAGCACCAAGTTCTTGCCAGAATAAATCATGAATAAAGAACAAACGCAAGCGTAGACCAGCTGCCCCACTCGTGGGCTGTTTCCCATCTGCCATCTGATGCAACACGCTGCAAAGGTCAGTGCAGAAAGAGGCCTATTAGCAGCCAGCTGCTACCTTATTGCAAAGCTACATTATGGAGATGCAAAGAGAGTTAAATAGAAAGAAGCGAACCAAGAAAGAGGCGAAGAGAGGGTTAAATAGGAATAACCTCCGGGTAATTTTAGCCACACTATGTATATATACTTCGCAGAGAGACATGTTCTGTAAATAGGATGACAGTCAGAGCTGTGGAGTGAGGGGGAAAATAAATAGACAAAGGGAAGACAAATGACAGAGAGAAATAGAAGATGTGAATCAAAAGAGGCAGCTCGCCCCCGGGCCTCCATATGGTGAAGTGTTTGAAAGCAGGCCAGGACAGTAAAGCAGAGACTCACGTCAGTTCCTCCAGCTGTCGGCTCTTGTGATGCTCTTGGCTCCTGAGACGTTCAAAGTCACAGTGCAGTTGCTCCAACTCCAGATGCTGCTTCTGGTTACAACTGAAAAGGTGAACAATGGTTCAAAAATATTTAATGGAGACACTTTGTTTCTTTCTCCTATAGGAAGTCTAAGAATTTAGTGTGTTAGTGAAATGCCAAAAAAGTGAAACTGAATCTGTTATACAATGGATGCAATCTGGACACAGAGGTCAGGTTCACAAAATCACAGTTTGAGTGTGACTTTATGAACTCTCATGTCCTTAAAAATGTTCTCTATTTAATTTGGCTTCAATGCCAATCATAGAATTTTACTACTCAGCCTTCAGCTGTTTTACAATACCTTTTACAGGACCCCAGAGAAGTTTTATTAGAGGTTTATAAAATGGTACAAAAATGCTTTTTAATAGGATTATTACTTGTACTGTGATGGGGCTTTGCTTTGGCCTTAGCTTGATAATCACTTCAATGTCACATAAGAATAATAATTTCTTTCCTAAGTCTGACAAGTAGTAAAGTCAGTGGCGTGTACAGACTTTCAAAACAGCAGGAGCAAAAATGATGACCCTGTATGCAGGGTTAGGACATATTTTGTCCTTAAGGTCCAGACACACCGAGCTGACATCAAAGAACTAGCGGCAACGAAAGCCCACTGTTGCCTGTGTCCTGGCCAAAAAGTTGTACATGAACACACTGCAAAGGCTTCAACCGACGGCCAACCAGCATGCATGTTCTGCACCAGCATGAGAGGAAATAACTCTCAACACCAGCAAGCAGCCGTAGTCTGTAATCATCATTCAGTTTGCCAGTTAGCACAATGACGAAGGATATTTATTGTGCACCAGTGAACAATAACACAAACCATCATTCTGATGTAGAGCTCAGCTGCTAATGAAAAATACTCTTACCTTAAACAAGTTTGTTTTGACCTCACTCCTCACTTCTGTTTCTCTTTTTGTGCGCTGAGCTGAACTGCCAATCACAGTGATTTCATTCACCAACGGGCTCTGCTGTCTCCGACGCAGATTCAACATCCTGAATCAGCTAAAAAAAAAAAAAGGCGAAAATCGTGGACAAGGGCCGATGAGGGCAAACAGTGCGGGACATAGCGCAAAGACTAGGACGACTGATGCTCACCAACAGCCCAACATTGAGCAATGGCTGACCATCAGCTTGGTGTGTCTGGGCCTTTTAAATCATATCCTCACCATACAAGCAAGAGAGGAATTTGGACTAGGGTCCTTGAGTAGCTCAAGTGTATCATCAGGTCAAAATTGAAGCATGAAAGTACCCCATTAGGGTGCAGATACATCCTGGTTTTAAAAAAAGTGCACACCTGTACCTGCCACTGTTTTAACCATTTTTTGATTTTGCTCTCTTTTTCTGATCCTTTTATCCTGGCAGAAAATTAATTTTATACCCGCTTTTCCTGCTCTGCTTCAAGGATCTTAAGGGCCACTTTGCTCCTATTACAGATGCTTTCTGCCCCACTGACACCCATCCCTCCATCTACACATTTTCAAGCTGCTTATCCAAATCAGGCTATGCCAGCAGGACAAGCGGAGCAGCCCCAAATGTCTTTTCATCCAGAAATTCTTTGCAGCTGCTCTTTGGGTGTTACTCAGACACTCCTCAGGGCCAGCAGGGAAATGTACTTTTAAGTCCCTCAACAGAGTCTGCCCTGCAGCCTGGTCCCACACAGTCACGCCTCCCACAGAACATCTTCAAACTGAGGCACCTGAAGGGGGCATGTTTTCAAGGAGCTCAGTGGCACCTCACATTGTGGTTTGGCAGCAGCTTGAATCTAAAGTCCTCCCACGCTGCAGTTTCCTCACCATGTCAACCACCCACACATATTGATTTCAGCCCCTCTTCCAGCTAGAGCTGGGCTTAGCCCTTTTTTTGAGAACTCAACTCCTGAGACCATGTTTCTCCAATTTTTGCATTTCCACACTGCTTATGAGGGTGGAAATGAATTTTAGATTTGAGCCCACAGACAGCTCACAGAGTGGGTAAGCTGTCTGCTTCTGAAACCATGTAAGACCTACATTGTATCGTGCCTCACAGTCCAGTGTCAAAGACAGAAGCAGACAGCTTTATAGTTCTTTATACTTGATTGATGCCCCTGTACTTCTCCTTATATGGTCCTGTACAACTTGTGGACTCTTGATTTATAAAGTCCGATTCAGTTTATTGGAGACCGTTTGGAATAACAATGAGCACTGACTCAGTTAAGTCGTCGATGATCTTCTGCTTCTCATTGATCTCGTCTCGCAGGCGGCCAAGCTGTTTGCTGTGCGACTCACGGTGTGACTCCATCTGCTGCTCCAGAGCCCTCTGAGGTATGGGCAGCAAGAGGGGGTGAGCGACATACATATATAATGAGAGAAGGAGAGAGTTAGCGAGAGGAGACAGCAGTGGGAACAAAGGGAAAACTAAATAACAACAGAGAATAGAATCACACACACCAGTGCACATGTGAACATAAAGAGCCACATGGGCATTAAGCACACACACACAGCAGGTTGTGCCATACAACACCACTGAGCATGAAGTGAGACATAGCTAATAAAACTGGTGCATGTCTCACACAAACACACACACAATGACACTCATAAACATGCACGAATACAGTACAGGCAGATTATTAAAAACAATAAATAATTGCAGCTGTACAGGAGCGTGCCAGAGCTGAAAACTGAATGTGTTGTGGGTTTACTTTAGGCTAGATTACCAGCAGGGAGAGGCAGGAAAAAGGCCTGTGGCCCCAGACCTTCACAGGCTGAACCTAAGCTTCACCGTGTGTCAGTGGCTTTTTGGTAATTATGCAAATATGTTTAGGAATTTGCACGACTACAATATCAACTGCATCCTCCATTCTCTGAAAACACAGAGACTTTTAAAAACGCCTTTCTCTCTGGTCTCATGCAGACAGAGGTGAGTGGAGTCTGGCAACACACATGGCTTCTTTGAGGGGGAAGAAGCGGGGTCCTAGGGGGTTAGCTGCGGTCGGCGCGACATAGCATGAGGGCGGACGGCCCGGCCTTTGAACCTACTCTGGAGAAGGTCCATCTGTGGCATAGCTCAGCGTGTCTAAACTGATAATGGAAAAGCAAATTGGCACAACATGGCTTGACTCAGCCATCTTTGCAGTTTGGACTTTTTATTTGCCATGAGCTCTTTCAGGGAATTGTGTTAGGCTCTGGGAAAGTGGGATAGGCATTTTTGCAATTCTTCTGACATTGAAAATATAGCTCAACAGTTTGGGAAATATACTTATCTGTTTTCTTGCCAAGAGTTATATTAGAAAATTGATACCACTCGTATTTCTGTACAATAAAGATGCAGCAGCCAGTTAGCTTATCTAAGTATAAAGACTGGGAACAGTGTTTGCTTGGCTCTGTCCAAAGGTAGCAATATCTGCCCACCAACATCTCTGAAGTTCACTGAATAACACTTTATATCACACTTGATAAAAAAACAATAACAGATTCAAATTTTACAGGTCTTGGACAATACACCAAACCACTGTGACATCAGGCTAACAACAACGATCAACGATTAGACTTTTTTTCTAAATCCCCTTCACAACAACCACCTCTGAGCTAACAACTTACATGCTGGAAATGGCACATTTTGACAAAGACTTGGATTGTACACTAAGGCACGTCTGCCCCTTCTGTTTCAGTGAATTGTTGTGAAGATCTTCAACAAAGAAGACAACTTAGTCTCGCAGGACTGCAATGCCCCCACTGTTGATTTGCCACATTTTTTAATCTGGCAGGAGCTTGCACCAGTGACACTGACTTCACTAATGTACCAATCTGTTTCACTTCACACAAGCTTCTGTGATATTGGTGTAATAATGTTCTGCTAGAGCCACATACAGCCAGGAAATCATCTGGGGTTTTAACTGGTCCAGGGAGCTCCTCCAGAGCTTAAGTACAGTCAGGCTTCACCTCTGTGGCAGCGGGTCTTATGTGTGTCTTCTTAAAGTGTTGAATCACACAGTGAAAAAGCAACTCTTATGGCCGTGTACATTCTGGCATTTTTGCCTTTATTGACAGCTGCAGATAGACAGGAAAGGTAGGAGTGGGAGGGAATGACACGCAGCATAGGGCCACAAAGGGTCGGAAATAAACCTGGGCCGCTGTAAAGGACTCGGCCTATGTGGGGTGTACGCTCCACCAGGTGAGCTACAGGTCATCCCCGTTTTAATTAAAGTTCTTGCCTCCCAACGTGCAAATGTTGCAACAAAATAAGTTCACCCCCGACAAGAGCAACATTGCTGCACCCTGGGTTTAGTGCTAAACAAGACAACTGTAATTGGTTTAAAGAAACAAAAATACACCAGAGCATTTTCTTTCACCTACAGCAGTAAGGTAATTAGTGATAACTTAGCTTTGCCTAGCACTGACATAACGCTGTGGAGATAGGTCTGGCTACACAAGACTAGTTGCTAGGCAACCAGCAAAGACTCTAGGGATTTAGTCATCAAAATCAAAATATAGCCAGACACATAGCCCTTACTTTAAAACAGACAATTATCACTTTTACGCTGTGATTTCGTGACCTTTGGACTAAGCCAGGCTCGCTGTTTCCTGTCTTTATGTCCTTTAAAAAAAAGTTGACAAATTAATCTGTAATGCAACTGTTAGTTGCAGCCCTGATATATATATATATGTATATATATCTATGCAAAAACCCTTGATCAGACGTACCAGCACAGCCACAGTATGCTGACACATGAATGCACACTCGTGGAGGGAGACAAACACACCCACATCACACCCACCCACACTCGCACACCGACACTTGCAGTTGCTGAGTGCTGAAGCGGTGCTCTGAAAGGTCATTACACTAAAAGTTGCTCTCACTGTAGTCATGGTTACCTTTATATCACAGGAATCCTGGATGGACGACTGGTTCTGCCCGCTAGTCACTTGTGACATGCTCTCTGAAAAACATACACATACGACTTTAAGGAAATGACAGCGAGAGAAACCAAGACAGAGAGAGAGATAAGAAGAGATAAAAACACTGCTGTAGATGAAAGAGGTGACAGTGACCTGACTTTGACAGCCCAGCAGCACCGCCGCTTCATGTTGACAGCGAGGTCAGCCTGATCCAAGTCATGCCTCGGCTTTAATAATATCTATTATTGAAAATGACAGCTATTGTGTCAGGCTGGTCTGATCTGTTTTTGACTCACTGCTGTTCCTGGAGTCTGATGATGAAATTACAGAGCTCTCTACGTCGCACCAGGCTGTGTGATCAACACGACCTGCACCACTTTGTATTTATCTCCTCCTGTAATGACTTGAGGACCACCTGGCTCAGGTGTGGAGTACGGCCAAAATTGATTTACCTGCCCTTAAATCCACTGGTTATTTAATGCAGTTACGTGCGACTCCTTAGGAAGAATGAGTTACATTGCCTTTAGCCTGATTTGTGAATTGTGTCAGTGTCCCGGGAGTATCTGGTTGGATGGACCTCGCACAAATTTCAAATGTACCATTAATCTATTCGTGCTGGTGCTGTGAAATGTTGGGAAGCCTAAGCTGTTTGTCAGCGTTCACCCTTGTTTTTCTTTTTCTCGACAGGATTGAAAGGCCTCTGGCAGAGACTTAAAACTCTCCATTGAGGCCAATAAAATTGTTTTAAGCGGCACTTCCCCAGATTTCCAGCTCGGTGGAGCCGAAACGCAGTGACAGATTTGTTGTCTTTTTTATGTTTCACTTTATCCAGACATGATTTCGTTTCGCTGTGTCAGAACATTAACCTTATTTTTGACTTTGGCATCTCAAGTCAGTCATTTTGCCAAAGATTTACAATGTAGCTCGATCTACTTACTGTCCTTCACAGCGCAGTGAGTAAGAACTTAGAAGATCATTATTCATCTCTTCAATCCCTTCAGTGCAAAGTCATCTTAAAAACATGTGCTACTGTTGGATAAATATTCTGCTTTAAACCCGCAGTGCTTTTGGATTTATTGAGCAAAGATCTGTTTTGCTGACTGTTTGATTGGATTTGCTCCTGGCTGGAGGCTTGTGTTTTTGCCTGATTTATCAACCATAAATCTGTTGTTTTGCTTGTCTGACCACATTGATATTTTTCTACTTCACCTTAGAGTCTGAATAAAAGTTAAACACTTCCCTGGTTTGTTATTTTGGTCACGTAGCTAAGATATCTCAACCTGAGCTCGGGGCAAAGACACTTTTATTACAAGTACAGGACCTGTACATTTTATAGGTGCTGCACTGACTGTTTATATATATATATTGATCCTTGAACTTATGGTTTGACCGGTTGTTGGATTTCACCTCAAGCATAATTTATATACTATTATTTAGTAGTTAGTTATTTTAGTAGTTCACTGAGATTATACATCAACTGCCACGGTTGCCACTTTAGTCACACTAGCAACTTGGCTCTATGGATGGTGATGTCACTCAGTTGGTCCACCACTTTGGTCCAGACAAATATCTCAACAACTATGGGACGGATTGCTATGAAATTTTGTACAGATATGATACAATGCAGTACAATACGATAAGATGCGATACACTTTATCTCCATAGGGCATGCTGCCCATACTACACATAACAGCACTGCACATTAGCAACTCATGTATTGCACATAACACCAAGACTCAACAGAGCACCACTAGCAGAATAAAACACAACCCCAAAGCATCAAGCAACATTACTGAAAATCTTAACACATATATTTGTGGTGCCCAGACAATGACTCCTCCTGTCTTTGGTGTCTTTTTCTCTAGCACCACCACGGGGTTGACATTTGTGGTTTTCTATGAAATGCCTCCAGAACTTCTGTACTGACGCTATGCAATGAAATGTTGGCACAGTCATTCATGATACCCTCAGGATAAACTGTAATAACTTTGGTGATCCCTTCACTTTTCATTTAGCGCGTTCATCAGGTCAAAATTTAAATTTGTCCAGCTTACGTCCAAACAGGCTACCTTCAAACAACCAATGATGTTGACAGAAGTCTTCATTCAGGGTTAAAGAGCGTACACAGATGAGGCAGGCCCTCAAGGAAGTGTGCTGAGCTCTGAAGCTAATTTTAGTAGTTGCCAACCAATGGAATTACATCCATCATATAATCTGTGGATACATTTTTATTAATGTCACAACCCCCACAAAATGTCCAGTTTTACTACCAGAATTTAATCAGTTTGGTCAGATACCATTTGGAAAGTGTAGAAAAGGTCTGTTAATTCATCCGTGTCACATCCCCCATCCCCTCAACGCCACCTACGCACCTCATTTTGAAGGGTTGTAAATGTCGTGTGGATATATGGGAGCAGATTTAAAACAATACAACACTACATACAGTACAAATTTGATGTTCGCTTGTTCGCTTATTTTGCCGCTTGTTTATGTGCCAGCTTAATATCTGATAACTTTTAATAATGCTTTTATGTATAAGTCTACTTAAATTTTTTGTTTATCTGGTTAAACTAGGCGCAAATCACCACATTCATGACCAGAATATGCCAAGGTGCCACAATCCCTGAGGGTAACTGTTACCCTGATGAAGGTCCTTTGACCGAAAGCTTGGTTCATTAAAGATACTTGCATTGATCCAAGTGTGCAGATACTCTTTTCTACACTTGTTTATCTGGTTAGAAAGTGATATCAGCAGCATTGTAGTGAAACCGGACCAACGGTTCAGCACACAGGGAGAAGAGATTCTGTGTTGTCAGATCTCATGAGTGTGGGTTGTTGAGACGGAGACACGTCTCGAACAATGTTAATTCTCTCCTGATTAGTCACATTCACTTTTCCACTAGAATGAAAAGAGTCAGGACTGCCTCTATTCTCCTGAAGGGGCAGGGCAGTGGTGAAACCCATGGATCTGAAGTGGGCCGTCTCAGTTTATCAATGGTCTCTGGCCAAAGTGCAGCCTAACAGAACCACTAAAGCTGCAGACTTTTAGTCTTGTTTGCTGACTGAATGAATATACTCAGAAAGCCGCTGTTGTAGTTGTAATGATGGATTTTTTTTTTACTATAATGAAATTTGTTACGGTGTTTTACCTTGAGCTTGGAGTTTGGCCAGCTCCTCACTCAGAGAGTCATAGTTCTCCTCCAGCTTCCTCTTCTTCAGCTCCACATTCTGCATGTACTCTGTCAGAGAGCGTATCTTTGCCTCGTGCTGAAAGTCAAAACGTAGCGTCTAAGATGCAGGAAGTATACTGATGAGCAACTGACCTTGACCCACAACTTTACAACAAGGGTAAAATATGTTTTACTCACTGTGGGATGGATATGATCTGCATTAAATATTTATGATCCTTCATAATTCATTAGGGGAACTTAATTTAATCAACAGCCTAAGTGTGAAACTCACAACATGATGGTTTCAATCAATCACATCAACACAGGGAATACAAAGTGATGCAATCCTTTCACAATCACGACAGTTTGCGCACTTAAAGCTGCTGATGTGTTGTCGCCACAAACAGTTGAGTGACGGTTCGAGCACACTGCTCTTCATCAGAGTAATTAATATCAAACAAAGGCCCACGTAAGTATTTGTGATGTTAATCAGTCTGATGAAGAGAAGTGCACTTGAAGCGTCAATCACTCATTTGTGGTGATAATTAATATTTTGCAGTGGGAGGTTTCAGTGTAGACTGTCCTGATTTTTCAACGTCAACACAAAAATTTCCTGCCAAACTGACAGATTTACAAACATTCTTTCCCCCCACCTGGGAAATGAGGAGGTGACAGGAGGAAAGCTCTCTGCCCGTCTCCTCCATCTTGCGGTGACACTCCATCTGAAGGTTCTCAAGGTGGCGGCAGCGCTTCACCATGGATTTCACCTCTGATTTTATCTTACTGATGTAAAGGCGGGCCACTGTGAACTCCTCCTCGATCGCACCAGTGATCTCCATGGGCTGGAGACAGATGAGGTAGAGAGGAGGAGAGACAGTTAAAAGAGTAGCAGAGATGTTCGGTTAAGATTGAGTGGGGACAGTTTAAAGACAGCTGGGAAGTTAAAGGGGGAGGGAGGCATCCTGGAGACTCTCTCTGCCATTTTGTACGCGCATCCATTAAGTTAAAAGCATCATTTAGCAGATGCTGCAGCTCTGAAATGAACTGTGGAGGATAGACTATACATCCATGTATCAAAATCAGTCTAAATATTACTGCCAAGATATATCAGTGGATATGGCCATTACTCATCCTCAGGTGTTACACAGTCAAGGGTATACATATACTGACTGTAATGTATAATAAATGGCCCTGCAGCTGGTTCACACACAGACACAAACGCTGTTTTAAACGCTCAAAATGCAGTGAATCAACATTCATAATTTCCTACAGATGCCAAAGACGTCGGGTTAAATTGGAGAGAAATGTGTATGAAATGATGCAGAAGACATTTTGAATTTTACACTACGTCTTGGATTTTAAGAAGCTTTGGAACAATGAGACAGAATTTATATACATCTATATATAGACATCGCTGTACACTGTGAATATTTGAAGGCATCCCGATATACACTTATGTTACAATTTGGGATGTGAGTGGTCCTATATATGTTACAAGACAATGATTACTGGTCATTTTTATCTGATGTATCCAAGTACCTTCTGGGATACAAGTAACCTCGGTAGGGAATCAGTATTGCGGGACAGGTTTTATGAGGAATTTTCTTTTTTTTTTTTTTTTACACACAATCTAAAATTGTTTGGGTTTCTGATCCTAAAAATATGATTTCAGTAAAATATCACTTCCTTCAATATTTAGTAGTGCTAGTAATGAATAAATGTCAGTGATCAGGATTAGGCTGAGTTATCATTCAGTATCCTTGTGGCTTGAGGGTAGAAACTCCTCTTAAGCCTCTCAGTGCTGGTCTGGTTTAATCGGTAGCTTGTTCCCGACCTCAGCAGGGTGAAAGGCAGTTATCCAGGTGGCTTGGATCCTTGATGATTCTCCTGGCCTTATTTTTGGAACGTCTAGTATAAATATCCTTTCTGTAGGGTAAAGCAGCATGTATAACTTGTTCAGCTGAATGAACCACTCTTTGCAGGGCTTTGTGATCCTGTTCAGTGCTGGCAATAATGTCCTCCGTCAGGAAGCTCTCAATCGTGCAGGAGTAAAAAGTCCTCAGTATTTGAGGGGATACACAGAATTTCCTCAGGCATCTCAGGTAAAATAGTCTCTGCCTTGCTTTTCTCACCACTGTGACAGTATGCAATGCCCAGGTCAGGCTCTCAGTGATGTGTACCCCAAGGTATTTGAAGCTATCCACCCTCTCCACTGAGGAGCTGTTGATATAAAGGAGAGCGTGGTTCCTTGGCTGTTTCTTTGCAAAGTCTGCCATTACTGACACAGCAGGTCAGGTCCCCTACTTCCTCCAGGTAGTCCTTTGTATTATACACACACACACAAACACACACACCATAGGGGTGGTGGTGTGTCTTGCTGTTCCTAGGACTGCACTCGTCTGGACAGAGACCTCAGATGTTGTACCTGGAATCTACTGGAGCCACTCTCCCAGTTTGGGGGTCACAGCCCCAAGTGCTCCGATTACCACTGGCACCACTGTTGCCTTTACTCCTCACATCTTTTCTAGCTCCTCTTTCAGCCCTTATTTTTCAAGCTTCTCGCTTTCCTTCTTCCTGATATTGCTGTCGCTCTGGGTCGCTACATTTATCACCACTGCCTTCTGTTCTTCTTGTCCATCAACACGATGTCCGGTTGGTTAGGCATCACCAGTTTGTCAGTCTCACTGGATCTTAACTCAGTCATTCTCAACCACCTTAGGAGGTGTCATACATCTCGACCCTGGGACTTCCAGCCCATACTCAGTGCAGATGTTCCTGTACACTGTGCCAGCCACTTGGTTATGGCATCACATGTATGCTGTTTCAGCCTGCATCTTACACCCTGCTATTTTGTGCTGAAGTGTCTCAGGAGCATCTTTGCACAGCCTGCACATGGAGTCCTGTCTGGTGAGACAGACTCCTACTCCTACTTCTATTGATCTTGTACTAAGTGCCTATTCATGTGCTGCCATGATTAGTGCTCCTGTGCTGTCTTTCAGTCCAGGCTTTTCCACCCACTAGAAGGATTTCTTGATGTCGGCCACTTCAATCTGTTGGTGGTACATGCCATGCAGGGCTTGTCTTTCCATGATGGATATAATACCCGTTGACATTAAGGGGAGTGTAGTTCTTTGGCTGCTTCTTCCCAAAGTCCACTATTATCGCTTTAGTTTTGCTGAGAAGTAAGTTGTCCTCTACTTCCTTCAGGTCGGCCTTTTTATTATGTATATAGTGTATGTATATACACATCATACATTTTGGCGTTTATTAAACTTTTATGGCATGGAGTTAGTGTGCAGGTGTTATCTTTTCTTCACTGATACTGTTTTTTGATAGCCTTGCACCCTCATAATGTGCACATAATGTGCACATAATAAGAACCGTGTTGACAGGACATTCTTAGCCTCAGTAACATCAAAATAAATCCGTGAAGATACTCTCCACAGATTTCAAGGTGATGTAAGCAGGAAGTCTCATGGATTCACTCAGTTAATCGCAGGCTACATCTTAAGCCCTGATCTTATTTACATCACCATCTGTGCCATGGAAAGATATCTGCAAATACATTTTATAGGCTCTGAATTCATAAGTGGAGCCTAACCCTAACTCTAACCCTAACCCTTTACTTACTTGTTTTTCTTATGTATCTGTTTAGGACTGTGCCTCGGACTCTGCTGCACAATTTATCAGAATGTTCTCTTTGAACTTTCCTCTCATGCAGCATAAGTAGCACCTTTTTAATGTATGGACATTAATTCTCTGACATGGCGAGTTAACTGGAAAGCACAGGATGTACTGATTCCAGAAATATGTGTATGACATCTGTGCACTCACGATATTTATTCTAAGCTGAGGGAGAGAAATTTATAATGCAAATTGCATCGAATAGTTAAATGTTTCTTCTGACTTTGACTGTAGGGGAATACAGGGATTCAGATGTTCACTTGTTATTAGATGTCTCATCTTTTGTCACAGACGCCATCTGTTTCCTTTTAAACATCTCTAGTAAGTGAGTAAGTGTCTCCCAACCCTGCATTTTGTGTCCCACTCACCAGCTTGATGTCCCTGTTTCCAACAATGGTGCTGAACTCACTCAGGTCCCTCATCAGACCATTGAGAATCTCTGCGATACGTTTCCTTTGGTGGCTGCTCACTTCCTGGATACGGGACAGTTCTGCCTCCAAAGCCATGAGGTGAGCCTGTGGGAGGAGAGAAGTGAAACGAGGGTGTAAACACAGAGGAAAATGAAGGGAGATTGGAAAGAAGATGAGAATAATACAGAGAGAGAGAATCCTTTAACCTGCGAGCAAACACAGCTGTGAGAAACACTTTAACCCCTGACCTCATTCTGATCCCAGAAATTCAAGCAGCAAAAACATAATGGCCGCTAAATTACAAATCAATAAAAAACCGAGATAGGGGGCTGATGGCATCGGTGCTGATGAAAGGATCTGGAAGAGTGAATGATGGAGCTTATTTTGTCCTTCTCTATTCTGTACAGTGAGCAGCTTCTGAACAATGCTGCAGCCCCAACGGCTCAAACACAATGAAACGATTTGGGTTCAATTGATACTCTGCAGGGCTGACGAAACAAAGTGAAAGAAGGGGAAGTGCAGTTTTATCTTGCAAAAGTGTTTTTCATAGAAAACCGCTGTTGGTGGTCAAGGCCGTAGCCAGGATTCTAAAGGTTGTAACTCCCAAAATACTGTAGATGGCTTCTCAACAGTGACAGGAAAAGAAAGTGATGAAAAACTAAATCCTTGTTTTATTCTACAACTGTATTTTCTTTGCCAAGAAATAAGCAAAAAAAAAAGAAAAGATATCTTGTCTAGAAATCATCAAAAGCAGCCTTAAGAACTCATCAAGTTTAATTTGTGAGTAATTACCAAACGTTAACTCCTCCTCAAGTCGTCTAAGCCTCTGAAAATGATACAATCTTTGGAGTCTGTTTCCATAGCGCTGGTGCTAAATACGCTGAAGGTGTTTCATTTTATTCTAAGTGGATCATTTATTGTCTCAGGAATAATACACTTATTAACAATGCTCTTCTTTAACGGTGCTTTTTAAGTTATTGCTGCCATGGATCACCAGTCAATACAAAGCACCATTAACCCCTGTCTTGAGTACAGTAACATTAACTCCTTTATCAGCCTCCTCCATCTTCATCTCCTTCATTAACTTCAAGCCTCGTGATAATTTTCCAGGTCACTTGCCACGTCAAAACATTAACTCAGCACAAAAGGAGGTAAATAATTAACTGAAATCGATCCATTTGTGAGTAAAAAGGAGATGAGAGGTAAATGAACTAAACTTAATTTAGTTGAAAGATTTATGGAGATGTGGTTGGTGCAATGATGAATGGAGTTAATCATAACCACAGAAAGGGGCTTAAGCGGACAGATGGATGGAAAAGGGTGCTTAAAGGAGCAGATGAATGGCAGCGACAGTGAGCGATGGCACGGCCTCCTGCAGAAGAAGAGAGGAGCCTCCAGTGAAAGCGGAGGTGAAGACAGCTGAGGAGACGGTGGGGCGAAGACAGTGATGAATACACTCCATTGCACCATTTTTCTAGGTCAATGCCGCTCCATTTTTACTGTAGAGATGGAAGAAATGTAAAAGCCGCAACACTGCACATTAGCAGCCGTGATGCAGAAAGTGGGGAATCAGTAATAAAGAGTCGGTGGAGGGGGGTGGAGCTGGAAAGGGCCCAGGAGGGTGTAATATAGGATTTTCTTTTTTAATCATTGTGCGGTTTCTTGTATTCAGTTTCACATCTTGTCAGACTGTTACGTTGGCGTCCCTGAGAGGAAGCGATGTCAGGTGAGAGGTCAGAGTGGAACAGACTGAGCCGTCCACAGAGAAGGCATGCTAAGTGATATGACTGAGAAAAGGAAGAGGCTTCAGCTGGCTTTATCAGACTAAACTGTGCGGTGAGTAGTTACACTGTCAGCCCCTTCCATCAATTTCTGGACCGGCTTCTGAGAGAGACAGAGAGGGAGGAGAGGACAATGTGGCAGATTGTAAAATGCTGCATGAAATATTGAAGAGGTTTTAAGAAGGTGAATAATGGTCCACTCTGTCCTCTGAGTCAGTCACAATAACTTCATTAAGCATTGACCAGCTCCGTCAGTGGTCTTTCTTTTACTTTTATCTCTTAAATACTTCCCTGTGCACAAAGATTCATACAAACCTTTAAAACCTTCACTATAAGTAGAGCTGGACTATTTTAAAACCTTGCCCCACTGATGAACACACCCCATATCTTGAAGCGCCTAAACTCCGTTATAAATGAGTGAGTACTTCTCTACAACATTAAATATTTATGACTACATAAGCAGCTATTAAAGTTGGAAAAAACATCCTCAGGTATTATTTATTAAGAGTTTAATACTCAGAGATGCAGTTAATCTGCTTCATCAGGACTGTGTTTGATTGAGTGACGGTGACTGAATGACCCACTTATCCAAATGTTGCAAAATTCTGGCTGGGTCTACAACTGATCCTTCGGTAAGTCCCACCCCTGGGGGACTGGACAATCATGCAGTAGCATCAGACCAGGGTCCAACTACAACACAGCTGTGCTCCATTGACTCTAAAGCAATCATTTCAGATTTCCTTCATTTTCAGGCTGGTTTTGTGGATTTGGAGCTAAATGTTGTGCCTGGGGCAAGTCGTGTATTAATGACACTCGTTACCTGGAGAGGTTGGAAAAAGATACACGTTTCTTCCCTGTTCCAAAACCAAAATCAAACCCTGAAAAGTGTAGGGTTAGCTAGCTAGCTACTGAAGATATAGCCTACTGAATGTATATACATGCTGCTTTTGCTTTTTAATGATTATAACAGTGAAACAAAGACCGACCCTGCTGTACAGGAACCAGTGAAGGGAAGCAGGGAAAATTTGCACATATTCAGCCAGCTCTGTGTCATCGCAGCATGCGCAGATGGATGTTGTTTGACTTTCTCTGGAGATCCCTGCCCATCTGTCGGTGGACATGGGGGGTGAAGCCAAACACGGTTCATCTGCACACACTGTGATGCCACACAGCTGGTTCAATATCAGCAAAGTTTCCCTTTATATTCATTGTCTTGTGTGGCGATCAGCAGTGATGTGGTGGTTCACTTTTACACTGTGATCTGTAGCCTATAGTTCGGCTTTAGCTTCTAACTATCTTTGTCTTTTTAACCTGTTGTTGCTGCTGAGTCAGTTTGACATCCTGGATATATCCTTCAAACACAGACTGTAGTCCCCTCTGTCTGCTTCTCTCTGGAATCACTGTTTCATTTTTCCATAAATACGATAATATTTCTTCAGGGAGTGCAGTTAGTTACAGTGAGAGCTCCATGCTTACTGCAACAGCTTGTTGGACCATCACAAAGGGGCGGGGCTTAGCAAAAGGTCAATTCCATACGCTAATTAGTTTGCTTTTTGTGGTCTTGTCCTTTATTCCTCCTTGTAGTATGTTTGTTTAGTACCCAAAATGATGCATGGTACCTACTCCACGGAAGTCTGTATTACTACTTTCAACATGCTACGCAGCCTCCACCAGTCACACAGGGACTCACTCCCAACTGGATCTAGAGCAGGCCCCCAGGACTCTACTCAGCCTTGAAGCCAATTTTTCCCAGTGACCACTCGTGATGCATCAATAAAAAATCCCCTGTAGCCCAGAAAGCATTTTCCCCTTAGGCCACTATTATTAAAGAGACGTCTGTAAAATTGTTGAGGGCACCTTGAACTGCAAACACAGTCGATTATGACTCTTTCTGTTATTAATTTTTGATGCACGGAGGTTTTATATTTGTAAAACATTCCTCAAGCTGAGAAAAGAGTTTTAAAAATCCGTAACAGCACCAGAGTATAAAGTCTTTGAGCCTAGCAGTAGCTCACAGGTGGGGCCAGTGGGAGAAACACTACTGCGCATATACAATAGGCCGCGTACTCTGGAAGTAAACCCAGACGCTAGGAGCTTTTTTTTTGGTGTATGCGCCAGGCAAGCAACTCCACTGGAATGAGTAGGCGTCAATCTTGGGATCTAGTATCTATTATAAATCTATGAACTGAGGAGGGGAGGGTGTGTTAAATCATTAGTGGGTGTGGCTCCAGAGGAAGATGGTCCCATCTACTGTGTGACTGTGTCTAAGTGTACTGTTCTTTATCTTAACTACTTGTGTGCTACTCCATGGATGTAAAAAGAGACTGTGCTGTAAGTGAAAGTCTTTATTTGCTGGTAGACTTGAGGTTGGCACTGGTTAGAATGATTATGCACCTCCAACCAGCTAGGAGGCTCTCGGAAAGTGACGCAGTATTTACAGCTCAGCGCATCCCAAAAGACACATACTATTATTTGTCCACCCAAAATGCTAAGCGCACATATTGAGTATGTAGTGTGTAGTATGTGATTAGGTACACAGCATCTAATTAGTGCACAAAAGAACAGGACATCACTTTCTCCAACTGAGCCCTGCACATCTCAAATCAGTAAGACAAGCACAGATAAAAATAAATACTGAAATCTCCAATGCAAAATAACCAAAACTGTTCAAACTTTGGCAGATAATATTATGCTCATATGAACGCAACACTCATACTAAGAAGCTAAGTTTTTCTCAAAGAAGAAAAGGTTTTCAAGGCATCTGAGTTCTCATGATTTAAAAAATAAAACATCTTCAAACCATCACTTCTTGAAAATGCAGATTTTAAGACTCTTCAAAGCCTCTAAAACTGACATGAATACACCTGGTTCTCTTCACAGTCACTGAAAGGATTGTTTTAATAAAAGCATTAACAACTTAATTTCACAGGCTTTTGCAGATAAACGATGCCAGATTTATTAATTGAAATTTAATCTTTGTCAACACTGAATTTTGTCCTCATGTGACCGAGCTATTCAAGTGGAAACCACAGAGTCTGAAATTAAGTTATGTGATGACTCTGAATACTGACCTTAATCAAGAGAGGTCAGACTTGTGCTCTTGGTAGCTGCAGTTTTTAACGGTTTATTTGTGGTCACAGTGCAAAACAACCAGTCACGTCTCCTAGAATTAATCAATTCACAGCTTGTGCCGTCGCTGCCAGAGAGTCTGAGAGTGAATTCAGGGTCGAGCTGAAGAAAAGCCAGTGCTTGTGGTAATTGGAACCATATTTGTGACTGTATGTCAAGTTGTTGATTAATGTCTCGACTGATTATCAAAAATGAAATAGGGTTTAGGTTGTTTCCCCTCTTCCCATCCTTAATACTTAAATATTTCTTTCTCATAAGTTTAGTTTTTCTTGCATGCATGACTGCTGCCTGCACAATTTATCATAATGTTCTCTCTTATCTTTCCTTTCACGCAGCTCTCTAATTTTACTCATTATCGCTCTAATTGCATTTTGAACCAGTAGTTCGACACGTTCTTGAAAAGACGGGGACTTAAATGGATAGATGGTTAGATTATTGTGCACCCAAATACTCATTTTCTCTTTTTTCCCCTCTAAATGTGCTCTCCTCACGTATGTACTACAGCTCAGTATATGTCCATGATTTATCAGCTAATCCATCTCTGTCACTGCCTCATTGTTTTTCTTTTTCTCTTCATCATTCTTCATATTTTCCCGTGTTTTCTTTATCTTTCTTCATGGCATGAATCTGAGCCTCCAGGAAGCAAAAACTCACCATTTTCTTTGCAAGCTCTTCAGCCAGCAGCTTATTCTGCACGCTTTTCTCCTCAACCTCCAGGCTCTTCTGGTCGTAGTTGACTGCCAGCTCCTCCAGGGCCTGAAGGACCTCCTTCACCTCAGCCTTAGCGTGTTCATTCTCCGTTTGCAGCCTGCCGAGCTCAGACTGCACCTTCTCGCTGTCTCCCCTGGATGATGCCAGGAGCTGAGGGATACAGAGGTTTCACAGCTGAACATAAATTGTAAATAAAGAAAGATTTGATTCATAAAAGGGAGCAGAGGAAGTCAAGTGTACGGGAGCATGCGCACAATAAGCATCATCTGCATTATTCACAGGGCAGAGCTGCTGGTTTTTAATAAAACATAATTGTGGGGTTTATCTTGTTCTCTTGGTGATAACTGATAAGCCTGTGTACAAACCTCGTTACACAATACAGGTGTGATTTAACAGATAACACACATTTTAAATACTCATCTCGGGCTATTACTTGACACTGTAAGAGCTGACATAATTTTGCCACCACAGTGTTTGCTTACATGTGCACTGCTGAGGCCCACTGTGGGCCATTTTACTGAATGAAGGTCATTAAATGTAGATGTTGCTCTACCTAGGGTGCCGGGATGTTTGCACCGTGGCATACAGCTTCTCTTTGGCCAAATGGATGTAAAATCATGTTACTGCGCACACAGCTAAGGTTGGGTAGTTACCATCACGTCAGCTCAGCCCACAGCAGACCCATTTTGGAATATGAATGGACTAATTTTGCGAATGCGTAGTCTTTTACTCAGCAGTGCACTCCATGCCAGCGCTTGGTTCAGGCTATTTAACCCACTGGTTAAGGCTCTTTCTGTATACATGCTGTAAATACTGCTTGTAATTACATTTTAATGGAGTCTTTTAATTGCTGTTCTTCCCATAAGTAGCACATACTGGCAGACAAACCTCTTTACTGTAGATTTGTGTGAGAAAAAGGCTGTAAAACCACTTCCTAATACATAAAAGGTCTCTGAATTCACGAAGAAGGTGGAGTCATGCTCATCTGCAGCATTTTTAATCACAGATCAGATTAATAGAAAGCATCTGTTTGTTTGCGTATCAGCTACAATGTCAGCCATGGACTAAAATAAGCAACACTTCCCATATCATGCTTCAGTCCTTCATCAATCTATGTATTGATCCTTCCTTCTAATCATGTGTGTCTGAGCAGCCACTGAAACCAATTCTGCTCTAACCTGCTGTTAACACGCAAATACACTTATGTTTAAACAATAATGCTCTGTGTTCTTCAAGTGCTTTCTGGCACCTGGAAAAGTGATTTTTTTTTTCTCATTCCTCTCAAGGGCGAGATAATAAACTCTTGCGGCTGAGTTCTATTCAAAGTGTGGTACTGACTGCCACATGCAGCCTACCGTGAGCCATTTAACCAAACTGATGAAAGAATGTAAAACTACAGTCTTTTACCTCCTCCTGGTCGAGCATCTGCTCCTTCAGTTTCTCCACCATCTGGCTCTGGTGGTTGATCTCATCATCCTTCAGTGGCAAGGAGGCATGTAGAGACAAACAGTTCATTAACGGTGTTACGTATTAGTCATGCTGGTACAGTACAGATTTGTACACTGCTGTATTTTGGGTTCAATGTCCAGTCAACTGAATAAATGAGAGATATGCTGTAGTACAACAGTAGTGACTTAGTGACTGATGGAGACAGCAATTTTTGAAATTGGTCCTGTATTGAGAGACAGAGCTGCAGCCACAGCAGCAAAACAGGCTCTAATGTAATCCCTACAGGCAACTGTGCAATGTCAATTTATGTCCATTGAAAGAGCTTGTTTTGCCACTGACAGTCTCAGATTGTAAATATAAGTGTCGGACAACATTATGGAAAGGATCCCTACTGAGAAATGAAATGTTTTTCTTTATCTTTCACTGATCAGCTCTGTTTGTTAGTGTCTGTAACCAAGTCTTGCTCGAGGGGAAGTCTCAATCTGACATCTCACGAACATTTCCACAATGTCAAAAGCCTAATATTCCACAATGACACTGACCATGTTTTAAGCCCAGTTCAGACCAAAGATATGTGATGAGACAAGTTAAAACAGGCCTTTCTGCAACATTCTAAAAACCTGCCTGTTCACATCAATGCAACTAGATGAGATTGTGTGTCATCTCTATGCAACAACTCTCCGTACTTCTGTTCTGATTTCCACCTTTAAGGCTTATTTTGTGGCTGAATATAATAAGTAACTTCTTAAAATATGAATGAGGACAGTTATAGTGAGATACTGGCTACAGTTGCATTTGTAGTAGGTAAACATCTGCAGTCATTTGGACTTGATCAGTGGACTTCACTACAAACCGGCTGGCTGTTGAAATAGGTGACGTGCCTCATGTTCTAAAACCAGCCGACTGACCGGCTGAGTCGCAGGTGACACTATCAGCTCAGATCGGCCAGTTCACACCACTGCACCTTTTCTCTGCAACTTTCTAAAATGGTTTCATCTCATCCCAAATCATCAGTCTGAACTGGGCTTTAGATGTAGGGTTTCCACATATTTTCACAGTCAAAATTTTCAAACTTTTCCTTGCCTTGTCGAGGACCCATAAAACCAACAGAAGTGTATAGTATACTTTACTCCAAATGGTAAGTACTGTATGAAAAATAAACAGCAACCTTTTCCAGTCTATAATAGTTAGTTACATTCATATTCACTTCAAACTACAGGCACAGTCTATACACTGTCCTTTGTTTTAAAAACCTGTACAAGCAGTTATATCAGACTGAATCACTGACTTTCATGCATGAGGGAAAATAGAACTGATTGTATTATAAGTGTATTCTTAATGCATTTGATTATAAACCTGGATTTAAGTCTGGAACAACAACGCTTCAATGACCAGTTAAAATGAAACTGAAGTGAAAACTGAATGCCTTAGGCCACATAAGTCAATTGCTCCATCTCATGCAGTACAATCTAAAAGCAGTGAGCCATTGGTGTGGAAACATGTTCAATTCTGGTGTCTTGATTCCAGCTAGCAGGCATACAAAAAAGAGAGACACACTGTGCAGGAAGAAAATCAAAAAATATGTAGTGATGCTAAACAAAACGCTGTTATGGAGTAACACATACTACACTACATTACATTAACAGCTATAGAAAATACATTTGGTGTTATGTTACATTACATGGAAGGTTTTTCACTGAGGATTACTGTAATAATTGTACTACACACCACAAAATTCTATGACTTTTCTGAAAATGTCAATGATTTTTACGAATTCCACGAATTCCTTTTCCTGGCCTGGAAAATGAGATTGTGAGATTCCATGACTTTTCCTAGTTTAACATGACCGTTGGAAGCCAGTAGATAACACCAAGCTATGATTTCTGTACTCCAACACAACAAACTCTTTCCAACACTCATCTCTCCAACACTGACTAATGAAGCTCAGCGTAAGTTCAATCAGAAAGACCTTTCTCATGCTCACCCTTTCACATTTTTCTCCATCCCACTCTCCACTACTCCCTCTAATCAGCTGACTATGGGTGTTCACTCCTCTAGTTATCCAATCACACTTTGCCACGATCTCTCAGCCAATCAGGATGCCACTACAAACATTACCATTACAATACACCACCATTTTAAATCTGCTCTCTCTTCTGCAGCTGTCAGCCATCATTTTAGGCAGAATCTTCGCACTCTCCTCCCCGGTCACCTCCAGCCATCGTATCCAGAGGCCAGGACAAGCTCATTCCTCTACTCATCCAGATCATCGGCACTTCTCCATCTTCCTCTCATCTCATCTTCACCACCTCCACCACCAGCATCTAGACCCCGGGGGGGTTCCCTATTCGTCTATAGATTCATCACTCTCCTTAAATCAAACCATCTCTACGGGGTCTAATCGCCAAAGACTTTCCACATTCTTATTCATTCGTTCACATGTTAATAAATATTCTTTTACCATAAAAACGTGTCTCTCCTGACTGAAATGTTTTCATCATTGTTTTTTCTGGAACAAGTCACTTCACGTGAGGTTTCAGAATGAGACTTCTCTTTGTGCGAGACTTGGGCACAGTAACACAGAGACAAATGATAGGTAAGGAAAAACATTTCATTCCTCTATGTGGTTCTTTCCGTAGTGTTGCTAGACACTTCCACTAACAATCTGAGCATACTGGTGGCAAAAACAAGTATTTTTAGTGGATGCAAAGTGATGGTGCACAGTTGCCTGGAGGGATTACACTGCAGCCTGTTTCACCACTTCCACTGCAGCAGGTTCTTTCAATACTGGACCAATTTAAAAAGTTTTCTCCATTAGTCATGACACAGAAACATGGAAAAACAGGGTCAAGACTGAAAACACCAAAAATGCAGTGTAATCAAGAACAAAAGCACACTATATTAATGAGGATATGTCGAATTACAGTTCAAAAGGCATATGTTTGATGGTCTGTGGTAGATAGATCATGAATACCACAGTGGCAAAAACAAGCTCCAGAGACACTGCATGTAATAGAAAAAAATGCGGCACATGCTGCATGGTCTGCGCATAAATTTAACATGTTACATAAAATATTCTGCCCAGGGTCTGCTGGAGCTAGTTTACCATGTGAGCAGGGGAAAAAAACAAAGTGTATCCATCCCCATGGAACGCCCTGTACAGTATGTGGAGCAACACACCTGGATGTGCCTGCATGTGTGAAAATGTCAGAAGTCGCATATGTTATGTGGTAAAAGGCATTTTTCTCAACACAATATACAAACTGTGTTACTGCACTGACACAAAACTAGTTCTGCATATTTAATGGAATATGCTAATAAAAGCAATAAAACTACACACCTCAGCACCGTGGAGCAGAGCATACGTGAGCACAGATGATGATGTGTTAACTAAATGAAATCTTTAATGCCTTTCGATGTGGAACATTACTATTTCCCCCAGTGACATCTATTCTTAACAGTAGCTACATTAGTCACTACTACGTGTCTGATCCTGAATTCATTTATATGAATAATACATGTGTGATATGCTCTTTGTGTTCACGTGCGCATACCATTACAAAAATCTCATCCATTGTGTGTAAACAGCTCTACATTCATGCACACAAATGGTCCCGATGCGGCATCCATTCATCACCTTATCATCCAGCTGTTTGTAAAGCTTGCGGATCTCCTCCTCATATTTCTGCCGCTCCTCCTCAGAGATGTGAACCACAATGGAAGAGGCAACTGAGCAAGGGCTGCAGGGGCTGCAGATGTCAGGGAGCGGCTCCTCGGATTCGGGAGGCACCAGGGGGACGTCCTCAGATTCTGGGCTCAGATCCTCTGACGCAACAACATCCTCACCTACAGACAAGGGACAAAATATTAATTTTTATGTGTTGCTGTTATCGCTGAAAAATCCTTCACTATGGATTAATGCATAAAAAGGGGATTAGCAGGATAATCTTCAGCATATGTCCTTTCCTTGCTCCTGAATACATTTAAATCTCAGGTTGGAGATATGTCTGTGCAATAAATGAGCGTTCCTTTTTACGAACTTAACAGCAGTACAAAATACCAGACCTTTATAACATTAAAATGTCAGTTATCTGTGTTTGGCTCTGGCTCAGACTACTGCAGTAGTTCACAAAGAAACAGGAGTGGAGCCATTGAATGCAGAGTGAAAAACTCAGGCAAATTCACAAAAGGGTTACATGGCTTTTGTGGCCACTTAACCTGCAAAAATAAAACAAAAAAGGACCTTCTCAAAAGAACCTGCACATGGTGAAACGCACTCCTCACTGTGCTGACAAGCAAATAGCACCTCTGAGCCCCTGTGCTATTTGCACGTATTTAAATTAGGTAATATGCGTACATTTGGCACAAAATTAGCCCTAAATGAGCCTAACTGCATTTCACTGCAGATCAGCACTAATAGCCACACACGGTTACAGTGAAGTAATTAGTGTTTCAGAGTTGATAGTAACTGAAGTGCATTGCCTGATATCTTCTTTCATACTCTGAAGGTGTGCATTTGAAAACAACAACAGTACTGACAGACTTGGATATTAAATACCAAATACGGTTTCTCTCTGTCATGTTTAAAGTTTTGAGGAATGCCTCTGCCATTCTCTCTGCTGTTGTTCTGCCTCCTGCGTTCTTGGTTCAATGGCAGTATTCACACTTTGCCACATGGATAATTGCAATCAGATGCAAGAAAATAAGGCAAAGTGCACTCAGCTGCAAAACTTTATGAGCTTGTTTATGCTGTAATATCATTAGAGTGATATCTTTTGTGAACTGAACCTTGACACGGGGTGGATAGCGGTTGCAAGTGATGCGCAACTTATGGTGCTATCAGCTGCCGCAAGCCATTCTTTGTGAATTCGCCTGCACTGACAGCTACTCTGGATTGTAATGCATTGTAATTGTAATGCTCTTCCTCAGGCAGCACTGAGAGTTTGACGATGAGCTTTCTTCCACTGTTGTTTGTGTGACGCCAGTATTTCACAGCACTGATTTGACTGCTGGAAGGACAATCAATTGGGAAATTGAGTGGTTTGCCCCTTTAACGCAAGGTCGAAGTAATCCAGTTAAGACAATACACCTAAGGAACACCTTTCATTGATTAGGTCTTCTTGCCTAGTTGAAGGTGTGCTAATCAATAAAGAATAGCAGCTGGTTAGATGTAAGAAAAACCTGAAAACATATGGCTGTACACAAGAGGAAATCTCCGTCAAGACTGTAGATGGAGGAAATGGGGTGGAATTTACTATATGAGACAGCTGGTCCTGTCTTTGGGCCATCCTGGTCTAAAGAATCGGCTAATGTGGTACAAGATGGAGGTCAACAGCATACTGCTCAGGGAGTTCCTGGCCTGAGATGGGCAACAATATAGGGAGCAGTGACTGGGGGACAGGGGCAACGATGTTGTCAAAATGATCCATTAGGAAATTAAAAGTACTAAATTGTTAGAGAGACACGTAGGAAGAGAGTGGAGTGAGAGGTTGTGTGTGTGTGTGTGTGTGTGTGTGTGTGTGTTTGAAGAACAGAAACGGAGAGGGATGTAGCAATAAAGGGAATAATTTTCACTGATAGGTGTTCAATAAAGATGTGTTACAGCATTTTAAAAATTCAGGTCAACACTGAGGGAATGATCTTCAAGAAAAACAGCGGACAGGATTCATTACACGGCTTGAATGTCAACCAATCACTACCATTGAGTGCGCTGACATTTGAATTGACCTACAGTCCAGCAAGAGATGATGCCTCGAAATGTGTGTGTGTGTGTGTGTGTGTGTGTGTGTATGTGTGTGTGTGTGTGTGTGTGTGTGTGTGTGCAATTAGGAGTGACTGTGTGTGTTTCTGGTACTTCATGCAGGTGTGTGTGCTGACATGGGAAAAGACCAGCATAAGTTACAATTTTGGTTATTACTAATACATAAGGATTCATAAAACATAACCCCCTCCAGCATTTGGTGCCTTCAGCACAGTAAGAGGGGAATCCAATTATACAAAGTGTAAGTCTGAATAATATTAAACAGAAGTTGCCAAAAAGGGATTTTTAAGTGTTTTGGGCACAAGGCCAGCAAGTCTGTTTGGCTGCTCTCCTCGCATATCTCCACTGGCATGTATTCAGATGATATCAAATGAGGTTAAATCTGCACTTGCGTGGACTGAAAAATAATGTCCGCGGGCTAGCAGGCCGGTAACATTTTCATTCCTGTTAGTAAGCGCTCTGCCATGCATGAAAAGAGACTGGAAAAAGGAACAAGAACTACAGGTACATTTACTGTAGAGATTTTTCTATAGGGGACCACTACACTTACAATCTTTTACTGCATAGGAAGCTGGTTCTTTTCACCAAACATTAAAACAAATCTTAAAACTGTGATAAAATCTCAATTGTTTGGTGTCATCTACAGTAGTTTAACAACACCTGTCTATATCTGGTATTAATATGCATCTTGGGTGATCAGAACACAAGTAGACAGTGTTAAATACAAGTGAAAAAACCACCAAGAGACTGAGGTGGTCTGGGATACATTTGACCACATATCTTTTGTTGTGTAAACGCTGATGTGTCCCTGATCAAGACTAACAGCCTGTTTAGACCTGGTACTATCATGCATCTTGAGTGATCACAAGTCAATAGCGCTAAATACAAGTGTAAACGACCACCGAGAGGCATTGTGATCCAATCACTAAAACCACTTACTGAGGTGGTCCGGGACACATTTGACCATATATCTTTTAAACACTAATGCATCCCTGACAAGGATTACATCATCAGGGCAGGACGTGGTGGTTGTTTTGGTAACAGTGTGCTAATGCTCTATAACTTAATCATTTTATGTAACTCTGGACACATTGTTGCATGACCATCCATTGTTTTGCCCTATAGAGGAAGACGTGTTGAATTTTGTGGACAGGGATATCTTCAGCTGTACTGACACCACCGCTAACATGACGAGCACATGCTAAGGAGCAGATAGCAAAAGTGTGTTTGTAATAACTGTGCACAGAGCAGTGATGAAATCAGAACACAAGTGGTCAGCTGTGTAAACAGTGATGTGTTTTAGCTGTCTACTTGTGTTTGGATCACCGAAATGCATGTTAATACTAGGTATAACCCCTGGGTTGGATAAAGTGTTGGGCAACCATCAATCATTTTGCCCTGGGGAAGAAGATGTGTTGGATTCTGCTGACAGTGATATCTCCAGCTGTATGGACAAAACCACTAATGTGACCGGGCAGAGAGTGGACGTTAAGGCCTTTCCCAAACCACCCGCTGCACCTTCTCCCTACCCACTTCCACTCCATTTCCTCATTCAAGTGAAGAGTCTGCCACACTGACTGCCATCCCAAACCAGTTGTGGGGGAGTGGAAGTGGGTCATTAAAGATGTTCCGTTCAAATGTAAGTTCCCTGCAACTACCTGTACAAACACAAACTACTCACTTTATTGTAAAGTGTTGTATATTTAAAGGGTCTGTTGCAAAAACTAAGCAGCTTATGAAGATCAAAGTAAAAAAAACAAGAGGATGTTTACAAAAAGATAAATGCTATCAAAGAAGCTGTATTTATACCCTATACCTTAATGAAAGGTGCTTCATTCAGCAGAAAAGTTGACTAGAAACAGTTACACTGCGTGATGGAGTGGGAATAAATAGGGCCTGGTTTGGGAAAGGCCCACAATAACTGTGCATGGGGCCCTTTGACCTTCTAGCATAATCGATGTAGGCAGTAACGAACTCTGAACACAAGTGGTCACCTGGAAACAGCAATGTGTCTCGGCTCTCCACTTGCAAAATGCATTTTGATACCAGATGTAAACAGGTAAGTCAACAAGCAGGCTGTAGCTTTGAGCTGAATGCTAACATCCTCATGCTAACATGTTAACAGTAACCAACACGCTGATGCTTAGTTGGGATAATTGGGTAATTGGGATAGTTGGCAGCAGCTCAGTCCATAGGGTCTTGGGTTGGGAACTGGAGGGTCGCCGATTCAAGTCCCCATGCAGCCGAAGTGTGGAGCGTGGCGTGGTAGCTAGAGAGATGCCAGTTTGCCTCCTGGGTACTGCCGAGGTGACCCTGAGCAAGGCATTCAACTCCCAAATGCTCATGGCACCTGACCAAGGCAGCCCCCTCGCTCTGACATGTCGCCATTTAATGCATGTAAGTCCTTTTTGTGCATGTGTGTGTATTTCGGGCCTGTGTGTGTATAACAACAAAGTGAACAAAAATTGAATTAATGAAGGGATTAATAAAGTGTATCTTCTTCTTCCTATGTTTACTATGCTTGCCATCTAAGTTCAGTGTGTTAGCATGCTAACATTTGCTAACTAGCAATAAGTACAAACTACTGTACAGCTGAGGATGACAAAAATAGGTTGCAGTAGTATTTGTTTTGCAGATGGTCATAAACCAAAGTATTGGACAAATTGGTAATATTACCTGGTGATGCTAGATGAAAGTAGTTATTAGAATACATCCTGAGGAGGACATTAATGTCCGTAGCAAACTGTAACGGTGTGGCATGGTGTTTTTCTGTTTTTTCACCATGAGTGCCACAAACATCGATTGTTTTTTTTACCAAGACATTCCCAGCTGGGACCGTGCCACCAAAAGGAGGTATTTAAAGCCAAAACATGATCTTTTCCTAACCACAACCAAGTTGTTTTTGTGCGGTTTGTAGAAACGTACAATGTCAACATTTATGCTGGGGAAACGGGTTGATAGTTGTCAAGACAATTCACTCATATCCACAAATATCAACCTTGTTTTGACGCAGGATGAAAAGTAAAAGGGTCACCAAGGTCATTAGGATTCATCCTCTGGGAACCATGAACCTAAAAAACCTTCCTGGCAATCCATCTAATATTGGTCGAGCTATTTCAGCCTGGACCAAAGTGGTGGAACAACAAACCACCATCCCACTTGTGTGGCTAAAAATATAAACGTATTATTATTCTAGCACTAAATACAAAAAGTACTGATAATGTCAAAATGCCCGGGCAACAATTTTTCATGGTTCTTCCCCAGAAGGAGACTTAGATATTTCATGTTTTTGTGTGCTGCCAGCGTGATATCAGTGTGAGTATTACCATTCCTCCAGCGGTTCAGCTCAGCCTCCAGTCTTTGAACAGTCTCCTTCAATGACCTGTTCTTCTCCTTTTCCTTTTCGTACTTCTTCTTCCACTGCTCTGCTGTGAGCTCCAGGTTCACTGATACAGTATTTCTGATGGTCTTGGCTCTAATTGGAGGGATGCAGGGAGAAAGAGCACAAGAGAGGAAGGGTGGGGGGGAGCAGCGTGAGGGTAGGAGGGTGAGAGGAGAAGATGTAGGAAAGAGGGGAAAAAGAAAGTGTAAGAGAACAGAGGAACTGTCAACAGGGGTATTTCAGCCCTGGCTGCTCAATGAAAATGGGCTTGCATCTCATTAATTGGTATGCAAATTGGGTTTCTGCCAACTGTGTTTGATGGTGCATGTAGAGAGAGGGAGGTATACGGAGGCAAGAATCACAATGACAGAAACCCTTCAGACCTCTTCACATCAAAATATAGCAATCATACATTTCATAAGAGGATAACAGCACTGTATGTGACCTTAAATTATTGCTAAATTGTGATGCCAAAAAGGGGCATCACAGAGTTGAAACATTCATGATGCTACGGCAGCAGCCCTCAGCTCCGACTGTGAATTCCACATCAGTGGCTATCACTTAATTTCACACATCAGTGAGAATACACTGTTGTCCTTATTCATTTATTCCCTGATATTAACGCGACAAACAGCCCTATCTTACGTTGTCTCATCACATCAGAATTAAGTCAACACTCTGTTTGGATAGCGAGGTGCTGATAATCAAACATCAGGTGACAATAACATTAATGTTGAACAAAGCGGTAATGGTTAGTTTATGTACTTCATCTATGTACACACATCCACAGTCCAAACATAGATCTGCACGTTACACACAACCTGTACGTTTGTAACAATATTGTCACTTGTAACACTGATAACACTGAAATATCTAAATATAGTCTGACAATTATTTGTTTAACGCTCTGAGACCTGCAGGGCTGTCAGCGATCCTAGGCGACATTCCTGTCTGTAAGGAGCTGTAGCGGGCTGAGATTCAGAGTGGTATCATATGAAACTAGATGACCTAAAGAATCCAGTGGTCCCAACCATGTCATGCTAGCTTCTCAGGATGGGGGGCTAAACAACCCTCCAAAGTTAGTCCCTGATCAAACAGAAAGCAGCTGGAGGCAGCTTTTTATAATTGTTTTTATAGAGAATTAAACTTTTTGCTCGCGTTTCTGCACTATAGGAGCCTGGCGTTTATGCCGGATGTCAACTCTTTTTTCTTCATCTTCTTTCCCATTGTCCAGTCGGATGTTTTAAGAGGCGGGCCTTCTGTGGTGGTTTATAGTTGGTAAATAATGGAGGAGAAACTGGTGGTAGTGGTTGCTGGATACCCAGAGCTATATGGCCCCAACAATAGACAGCAGGTTGTCAAACTGCCCCAAATCATCCTTAAATATACCTGGAAACGGCCATTTTGGAGGCGAAGCTCCTGGACCAACTGGTGGTAATCCCCAAGATCCACCCTCTTTTTTAGGGTCTCATGTACCCACACAGATCTCAGTTTCCCTGTGCCCAACAAAATATTTGCTGACAGCTTCTCACCCTAAACCAGAGCTACAGCAAGTACCCTCTGCCTGAACATTTTAGGAACTAGATGCTGATTACTGGGGGGAAAAAATGGTTGATTTATTATATGGGAAGGATGTGATGGGGTGGTTGCCTGGCAACAATAAAAAGTTGCAGCTGTTTTTTTTACTAGTGGCATTCAATTTTTAAAAAAAGGCAGTGTGGTGTGCCTTGCAAAAGTGCCACACTTTCTGTGTGATGGGGGCCTCAGGCTGAATTTTAGCGAGGGAAAGACGACATGGCAGTATCTGAATAAAAATGGCTCCATGGATACCCACAAGTCATGCCCACTTCATGCTAGTCCCATGCAGTCCTGTGCAAAACCATGTCATTTTTTGCATGCAGTACAGATATTTCTGCATACTTGAGTCCATAAACAGTATTGAATTATACACTGGGTATGACTGGAAAGTGAGCCTAATTTTATTCATGTGTGGTGATGTTAACCCCTATATGAGCCATTTTATTGTCATGAGACCGTTTTAACGACCCACAGTGACCTCTAGGATAATCACAGCCTCATGAAACTTTACAGCCACAAACTAAAGACCTCAGGCATTTAGAGGATATATGGCTTTAATAGGTGTATGGACAATAAGGGGGTTTCTTAGCAGTTTTCAGAACATAAGTGCTCGCCAAAACCTCCAAATGTCAAAAGTTTTTGATTCCAAATTACAGCATGAATTTTTCTGTGGTGTTCCTCGAGGTCTTGCTGTCTTAATGAGGTATTTTGAGGTTGTTGTTTTTTTTACCATTTTTATCAATTCACAAGTGGTAAAAAATGCTTAAACTGGCACCAAATCTGTGTAAGAAATGGTATCAACCCAAAAATGATATGAATGAACATAACTGAGCATGAGGGAATGGCCATCCTATATTTCCATCATAATGTTCTAAGGCTGAACACAGTCAAACTTTCAAACTTTGAACAGGCGTCTAACCAAAACACTTTGAGGATTTATGACCAGAAAAACCCGACAGATGATGCTGAGCTGCATCTCAAATTAATCTTGAGGTTCCTGACTTTCAGATGATGTATATCACTTTTATGTGGCATATACTGTTGACCTGCTATCTCTCCCTAAAGATCCCCTGTCTCCAATCTAAAAAGACAAAAATGGGTCTATGGTGGGTCTCGGAGGGTTTATGTCATGTCATAGTATTTGTGGTGCCATATTGATTTTAATGAATAGATTAATCATGGTGTCAAACAGCTTCCATGGCTGACACAGAGAGATAAGAGACCAAATCTTCTGTTCGGTTAAATTCAAATATGCACTGTGGATTTCTGTCGCTCCCTTTTCTAAGCCATGCATTATTTATTTCACCCAACACTCTCATGTCAGTCACTATTCAAGGAATTTATTGGTGAAGGAAAGAGGCTGGAGATGGATAAGGAGGCTTTTTCGGGATCTTGTCTTTCTATCTGTGAGTTTCTCTGAGTTGACCGTGAGCAATGGGAGTGGAAAGCTGGCGAGCAAACCAAATCTCTGCCTCTGTGAGTGCAGCTTACCCTCAAGATTACAAAATAAAAGCTCTTTAAGCAATCCCGACACGATCACAAAACACACACAAACCCTGCCTCCAAAGCAGGGCGTCAAAAGGAAAGTTGGGTGCAGCAAAATGTGAACAGCATATCTGAGTTGAGCACATTACAGCAGAAACAGCTGCAGCTGAGCCAGACCCACGTGTACAGTGCAGCAGCCCATGGCTACTTAGCACGGAAGCATGTTACCGTTGGCCAAACATCAAGGTGGACTTGGTCTCTACATCGTTGTAGCTGGAGGGAGAGCAACAGATGAACATGGTGGTGCGGCAGTTCCCGCCCAGCGAGTCCTGTAAGATGCGAGTCATCTTGCTGTCACGGTATGGTACGTGGGATTTCTACAATGAGATACAGTGAGAAAGGAAGAAAGGCATAAAAAAAGAGACAGATAGAAGAGGATTAAAAGGCCGCAGAGGGTACTCTGAATTGCTGTATCACCATGCACATGCCTTTCTTCTTAAAAACTAAAAATAATGTTGTGAGCATCAGCACAGAACAAAGGAAGAATAAAAGGTTTCTCTCCGTCTGTTGCATCATTCACAGTATTACCTTTTTAACCTCTGGAGCGCCTTCAAAAAGACTGTGTCCTCGGTTAATGAATAAAGAATGAATGGCGGTAGATTTATAAAAGATTTGTGGGGCATTCACAGTTTGTGAGCCCTTCCATTAGGTTTATGAGGAATTCCCTGAGCCCTCCTGGTTATATAATAGAAGATGGTGTATATTTTAATTACGATGATGGAGCTTGGAAGGGTTATGGAATGGGCAGGCTGCAATGAGTGAGTGAATTTGCTGGTTGAGTTTGGTGCAAGATGGAAAGGAGCCACCAGCTATAGCAGCATTGGGGGTTTTGGACAAGGGGACAGAAAACTAGCTAACATGTCACTGTAGCATTAACCAATACAAACACATGACAACAATGTCAGTATGGAAGGATTCTGGAAAACACCGGACGAGGATCACATTTCATTGTTTTTACATTTGGTGCCGACATTTTTGCTTTCTACAACATCTGTAAATGGCAACTGCGGTACTGTGGTGTTAACACTGGAAAAAGGTTGTGGCTATGACAAATAAAATATGGTTAAAGAAACAGTTTGACATTTTGGGAAATGTGCTTATTTGCCTTCTTGCTGAGAGTTACATCCTTTTCCCATCAAAATTCTCAGGTATATGCAGGTTTTTTAAACGGGGGAACACACTAAAAGTAGGAGATAGGCTCCTTTACTAATGCAGATGTAAGACCATCCAGACAGCAACAGTATTAATGGTGCAGAAAAGTGTTGTTTTATCTCTTTCACCTGCAGGCCTGAGCAAAAATATACAAGCTATAACAGCACCAGGCACACACACATGTACATGCTTTTACCTCAACAGGGGCCAGACTGAACAACGCCCTTCCTTTTATGGCCTAGTAGGGTCACAGACAGGTTATTGTGCTGTTTAAACCAAATATAAATGAAAGGAAATGGGCATGTACAGTATAATGGCCACCGGCAAGTGTGTCTGTCAGTTGTTTTTTCACTGGTTTGGACATGATGAACATGCCAGAAAACAGGTAGAAAGCAGCATGGAGGCCAGTGAAAAATGTTTCATTGGTTACTTCTGTTTTTCATATGTGTTACGTATCAAGTCTCTCTCTAAAACTCAGTGGCAACTAATTTGGAAAAATGTTTGAATGCAGATTGGACAGAGAGGGATGGAATTTGTGGTGGTGCATCAATCCACCCCAGTGTCATGTTTCCACCCCTGCCTATTGGTACAGGAGCTGATAAATACCTGTGACTACAGCAGAGTTATTTGTCCCGGGAGTGACTGTCAATTGTAACCTTTCCCACCAAAGACAAAAGCCAAATGTTAGCGGGTGTTAGTGGGGGTTTTTGTGCAGTGGGAGAGGCACTTTAGATGAGATGGGTGATGCCACTCTCATGTTTGAATAATTAATATGAAGCCACCGCCAGCAGATGGTTAGCTTATTTTATTTTGGCCTGGCTCTGTCCAAGGTTAACAAATTCCCCAACCAGCACCTCTAAAACTCACAGATTAACATGTTATATCTTGTTGGTAACAAAAAACTGCACACAAAAATGTAAACATGACCAGTTGTGGTTATTTTTGGGGGGTCATGTGCTGGGACCAGTGACTTCCCGAAGTCCTCCCTGTTGCCTTGCATACTTCCGGTGGTGACAACCTTTTTGATATGAAGTGCCATTTTTAAATGTTCTTGTTAATCACTGCCGTATCAATATCATGTCAATCCCTCGCTCCTCAAAATGCCTCATAAAAACTTTAGCAATGTCCTCACTTTGTTGTTTGAGGCATTGGTTTGAAGCAACAAAGCTCATTCCTTAGCTTCCTTCCTTAGCACTAAATGGTCTCAGGCCTAAATACATCTCTGATTTACTTGTACGTTATGAAGCACCCAGACCCCTCAGATCACCTGGAACAGGTTTACTCAGTGTTCCCAGGATCAAAACCAAACAAGGTGAAGCAGCCTTTAGATTCTATGCTCCACGCCTGTGGAACAAACTTCCAGAATATCTGAGGTCGGCTGAAACTGTCAGCTCATTTAAATCAGGGCTTAAAACATTACTATTTACTGCAGCTTACCAGTGGACTAGATATGTAACTTATTGTTAGGATAATCTGTAGCTATTGTTTTTATATTTGTCTGCTGTTGCTTTTGCTTTATGTTTGCTTTTTAAATGCAGTTTTTAACTATATTTATTGTCTTGCTTTTAGCTTTTGTTTTTAATGATCTCAAACACAATTTTATTGTTCCTTTAATGTTTTATTTTAATGTATTTCTCTTGTAAAGCACATTGAATTGCCTTGTGTATGAATGGTGCTATATAAATAAAATTGCCTTGCCTTGCCTTGCCTTATCGTCCAATCACAGTGTCTTGCTAAAACATGGTAAGTCATTCACATCCACACTCTCATCAAGTGCAATGCTAAAGCTGCTAACTTTCTGAGTATGTGTGTTTGTGCCTTTGTATCATTCTATGTCCCCTCTCTTAATGCTGAGGTTTTTACAGATTCCTTAACACAGCACTAGCGAAACTCTTCATGATTTGAGTCACGAGGTGGAATACTGATCAGTCAATCTGATCAGAGCCGATCAGATTAAATCAATGGATGAGAGGAGCAGCTGTTTGTGAGTGAAAGCTTTATCAAGATTATTTTTTTTTGGCTTTTTGCCTTTAATGACACGACAGATTAGCATGAAAGGAGGGGGGGGGGGCGGGACATGTAGCAAATGGTCGCAGGCTGGAATCAAACCCGTGGCTGCTACAGTAAAGACAATGGCTTTGCACACGGGATGCCCGCCCCAACCACTGAGCTACTGGGCATCCCGAAAGCAAACTCTGCGGCAATCGTGTTATCGTTAAGGGCCGCTGCAAATAAATCAGTGTGTAGGAAGCCCTGCAAACATTTCAAATAACTCCCTTGCATACTTGTTGCTAGTGTGCCATTAGTAAAGCCACAACATGACAGCGGTGGCATACTTTTTGAGGGTGCTGACCTCTGCTTCAGACCTTCAGACAGAATCAGGCTAGCTGTTCCCCCTGCTTCCAGTCTTCAACCAAAGGTAGCTTAACATTTACAATACAAAAATGAGAGCAGTATCGATCTTGTCATCCAACTCTCGACCAGAAAACAAATAAGCGTATTTCCCAAAATGTCAAACTATTCCTTTAAGGTAGGGATACTGGGCTGATGGATGGTGTGATTTGGCTGTGAGTGACGTTGACGACATTTAGGTTGTGCTAATCTAATACGCTCAACTACTTCACTGCAGCCTCGGCTCAATTTTGGTAAACATATTGTTTTGGCAGCGAGTACGAGGTATATATAAAAACAAACAATAATAAGACAAGCCTTAAGCGGCTGCGATACCCTGGAGGCCTGATAGATAAGAAAGGCTGCGGAGAATTTCTCCACCGTACCGTTCCTTCGGCCAAAGCTGAGATGACGTTCCCCAGGGCCGACAGAGACTTGTTGATGTTCTTGGCCTCATCCAGCACTGCTCCCTCCGCACCTGTCTTACTGACCTGACACAGACACACACACACATACACACACACACACACACACACACAGCAGGAATTAGCTCATAAAGTACATCATCAGCATAAAAATGTCATCAGGGAAACCATGTTTATTTTCATGTAATGCTTTATTTTACAGGTCCTGTAGTTTGGTTTTAATTTCCTACAAATGACATGATCTGTAACTTTAAATTCATACGAAGGTTCCTGGAGATAACTGTGTAATTTGGTACTAATTATAGGGAAAACGCAGACAGTGTTCAGTTGGTACACGTCCAATTAATTAATTATAATTAATTGCCAGCGAAAGAGTCTTCTATTCAGTGCACAGCCGGTGACTTGAGCATCCAGAAATGTGAAATGTGTATACAGGCAAGCACACAAGTAAACATATCTGATGAATAAAGTTTATATTTTTGAATATATATATTTTTTATATAATATTGCTCATGAATTTTTCCAGATTTAAATGGAGCAATTCAAGTCTCTGTCAGTCGACAACTTAATATCAACTCAACACACCTCAAATAACAGTCTCAGAATTCTTTTTCTATTTTCCTGATAATGCGTGCCAAAAATCACACATTACTTTTTAGAAAACGGAGGAAAGGAAGGAAATTACACACCTGTGAAAGAAAGCACTTCTGTTTTGTACTGTAAATTGTTAAGAACACTTGAAGTCAGCCAGCATTTGAGAAGGTTTGTGCCAGAGACACTTTGAAAGGGAAGTCACACCATATTGTCTCAAAATCGTCATGGGATACAATTATTTACAGTGAGATAATGAGGAGCTTAATTATAGAGGAGAGAAAGTCATCCTATCAAAGCCTTCTGTGGAGCATGCACCAGCTTCCTGTTCAGCCAATATTTTTTGTATCAGCCTGAGAAGTTGTTGGAGCAGAACCATTTCCTCCATCATCCCCAGGGATGACCAACACAACTTAAAGATGCAGCATCAGCACTTAATAGCTACAAAGCACTGCCGTCAGCATCTGTATGGCCATCTACTACTCTAACCGCACACTACTCTATATTTTGTATCAATACTATCAACACTAGACTCCTGCCAGGAGTCGAGGTGTCGCGCTCAGTCTCGTCTCTAAATGTATTTTCTATCTGCTTTTTGGAGTATGACCTATGTTCTGGAGATAATTCGTTTTATAGATGGTGCAATGAGGCGAGCTGACTCAGATTTCACCTGAAGGCCTTGAAACAAGAGGACAATTAGTTGCTTGTGGCGCTCTCCTCAATTTGACCTCTGTCTCGGCTGAAACCTGCTTTAGAGCTTATCTGAACAGAGGAAAATAGAGTTTATTATTTCTCAGAAAATGATTTTTTGTCTCCATCAGCGGAACCGATTGGATTCCTCAAAATGAGCAAACACAAAACCTGACATTGCATCAGCTATGGAAAAAAAACATAAGGCATCTAAGACAGATAATGTTGAACTTAATGAAAATTCAGTGCAGTGTTATAAAGTGAGTGCTTTAAAATGCTCTACGAGTGAAGTTCAGAGCTTTAATGCATTGTTTATCTGCTTCTTTGATGTCTGAAAACACCTTTTGTGAGAAAAGGCGTCCCAGTGTTGCAAAATCCTGCTGACAGTGAATGTTGAGAGTTTATAGCAGCGCGAAGCCCTACTTTTAATGTTTTTTTAGATGAAATTTCTCTTTCGTCCTACCTTCTCACTCCCAGCTAGGTCGACCAGGTACAGCTTCCCACACAGCTTCTGCTCTGTCTCCACGTGTTCTTGTTTGATGTTTATCAGGAAGATGCTGTGACTGCGGGAACTGTGCTCATTCATGTCTGAAGAATAAAGTGCAGAGACGAGAGGAGAGACTCTAATTCAGACTCCTTGTGTGAAACGTCATTCGGTGTATTATTCCCCACGGCAGGGGTTGTTGAGCAAGATGTTCCCTTTGCAGCTCATCATGTGTTTCTCACCTTTGCACCTGGAAATTGTTATACTTAAACTGTGAAAAAAAACCTGACATGAAACATGTGACAGAGTGAGCGTCAAAGCATAACGAGGATTAAAAGAATGACTCACTGGTGACTGCAACGTGACGGTTGGCCTTCCCTTCATCTATGACATCCATCACTTCCTCTGGGCTTGTGACAAAGCGCTCTGTGCAGCCCTTAGTGAGAGAAACACACGTGCAAACATTCATTTGCGCTGTGAGGAAAAGAAACCATCCACACATACCTGTACAGCACAAGCACCAACAAACACACTGTATCTGCATATGAATGCTCCCACATGCACAATCACTTTAAGTTTAAAGGCAAGCACATATGCTTGTGTCTGAACAAATACAGACACATCAAATCTTACAAAGACTGACATTTGCTTTTCTGAAAATCAGTATCCTAAAACTTCAAAGCAAGAGTTCAACATTTTGGAAAATTCACTTATTCATTGTCTGGCATCAGTTATGTTCGCTGGATGAGAAGACTGCCACCACTTAAAGCTACAGCCAGCAGCCTGCTAGCTTAGCTTAGCTAGACTGAAAACAAGGGGAATCAGTTGGCCTAATTTTACCAAACCATGACAAAACCCCCCTGCCAGCATGTTATATTCATTTGTTTCATCTGTACATAAACTAATAAAAAACTATGATTCACGACTTTTTGGAGGGTTGTGTCTGAGACAACTTTTTGGCCCTGAACAGTTACAACCAGCAGCAGAAGAAGTTACCGGTCGCACCAAGTAATAGGTCAGCTCATAACCCCCATTACACAACATACTACAGATTAAACAAATAGGATAAAACGTGTCAAATTAAGATCTGGTTCATTATGTATAAATTCAAGGTTTTTATATCATTCTTTAGCTTCCCAGTAGTGTTTCTTTTGTATTCAAATCCAAACATTTAAATTTTGGTTGAAGTATGTATGTTTTAGCATCAAAATGCTATTTGCCCAAGCCATTCTAAAAATGATTCCCATGTGACCTAACGTAAGTTTTTGCATGATGACATTGCTACATTCGCTCCCCAGTTCACCTGTGCCTCTTTGTAACTGAACAAAGCTTTCTTTGAGTCTTATGTGTTATCACTCTTTTAAATTAGCTACATTCCTCTAACCCCACTAAGTGGCACGAATGGTAAGTCACAAGTGGAGGCAGCGGTAGATCAGCAGCTCCAATGTTCCATCAGGTAAAATTACTGGCTTTCAAAAAGAGAAATATATATATAGAGCCAGAGTGTGCAACGCTTGTTTTCGACATTCAAAATTAATTACGATTTTGGCTTTGGGCTTTGGCTTTGGTTCCCTGTCAGTAAGGGCTGTTTGACAGCAGGGTAAAGCAGTTGACATATTGCACTGATTGTGAATGAGTAGCTTGTACATCCCCACTTCAAAAAATCCAGACTAACCCTTTCTGTTATCATTATATATTATATATCACCGCTCCAACCTACATCACTGCTTTTTGCTAATGTCTGAGTGGAAGTTTCCATTTGAAAAACCCGGCAAAATGCTGATGGACCCGCCCTTTAAGGACTGTTAGAGGTGCTGGTCAGGCACCCGAGGAAGTGCTTGGCTTTGAAGCCAATTTTCGAGGCAGCCAAAAAGTGGACTCATAACTCCTGAGTTCATCACGGCCCAAAAAGACTTTTTCCCATAGAGCGTCACAAACGCAAAATGACTCACTCCACTATCGAGATTAAATCCATACAGTCCGATAACATTTGGAAAGCCTAAAAGAGCTGTAAGATTAAATCATATCCCCATTCAAGTTCGCAGAGCGCTAAACCGGAAGTGGGTGGCACTGGCTTGGCTGGCAGAAGCACCATCGATCACCTGGGTAATTTCATACCACAAAAATACAGCTTTTTTGGCTTCAAGCACCACTGAGCAACTTTTCAATGCTATATCCAGGTCTCTTAATAAATCCATGGGTGCTCCTGGGGGGAATCTGACAGAGCCAGGCTCATAGCAGCTTCCCCATTTCCAGTATTTGTGCTAAACTAAGCTAAGCTAAGCTAATCTAAAGCTAAGCTGCTTGCCATAGCCTTGGTTATATTTATAAGACAGATATGACAGTGATATCAATCATCTCATCTAACTCTCCAACAGGAAGCCAAAAAGCTTATCTTCCTAAATGTCAAACTATGGTATTCTCTTGACATGCACCTATAACAGAAACTAAATCTCCATAATAAGAGAACAGAATTCAAAGTGAATCATGTCAAACTGCAGATGACTCACCTTCACATAAGGAACTCTGTATTTGTCTTCATGCACCGACAGATTGGTTTTTGTCACTAGGATGTGAGGGAAAGAGGTCATTATGTTACCTAAAGCATTATCTGTTTGTGTGTGCATGTGCAAATGAGCATCTACACGTGAATGTGTTTCACTCTTGGCACAACTTTAATCTGACCTGACGACGTTTTCCTTTATATCTGTGAGTCAAACTCTGCTAATGCGGTGTAAAAAAACATGACGCCCTTGCTATCAATGTTTTTAATGGGACTGAACTATTTTTGCCAAAGTCACCGAGAGGTTAAGCAGATGCCTACGCTAATGTCAGTGAACAAAATACTAATTTTTTGGCCGAGCCATTTATTGGCCCCAATTCCTGCATTAGTCATTTCACATTTGAAAGTCCTATCTTGTCGATGATAATTAAATTTCAGCAGATTGTGGAGGCTGCTTTTTTTCTTTTGCTTGGAGACGCTATGCCAGTGAGTGTCCGTGTTTGTGTGTTTTATCACCCTACAGCCACTTTTTCTCTTCGCAAATACCTCCACAGGGTGTTGTTCTCTGTTCTGCCTCGATTCATCTCGCTTGTTGTCGACTCCTTTTTTTTGTTCATAGCTTAAAATGTTCCTCAGCTGCTGCGAACTCCCCTGCATACAAACGGGGGGCTTTCACCACTGTCTCTGGCTCGATTGAAGATGTAATCACAAGGATGCTGCCTACGGCTCCCTGTCCGGGCCTCTTCATCATTTTATACTGGTTTTATATCTCAGTGATGTGACTATGAACTGCAATGCTGAGGTGCTTCTGTGTGTACAACGCGCAAAACCACAGTGCTTTATTGTCTGAAGCAGAAAAGTATAAAAGGAAGTGGGGTACACATAATAATAAATAAAAACCTCAAGATGCTATATCAACACAATATTGTTAATGCACTAAGCCTACTTGGTGAGTACAGCGAGCTCTGAGCTTCACTGCTTTATTTTTGATTGATGTTCAACGCTAGCTTTAAAAAAAAAACAAAAAAAAAACAAGCAGACAAGGTTTAGGTACTTATAGCCCTGAGTTGTCTGCAGTCTTTCTCTTGGGCTGCATACAGCCTTCATTAATAAGACAGAGTAAAAGAAGTCCACACTCTCTACTCTCCCTACTGCAAAGTATTATTTTTTTCTTAACTGCTTTCTTCTCTCATCAGGATTTTGGCAGCAAGTCCGTAAGAGGTAAATAAGATTTCAAAAAATGAAATGTCCCCCCATCCCGTGACAAAATTACTCCCTTGATGACAACATTACAGTCTATTCGTATGGGGCTATGAATGTAGCTATAAGGGTTTGAATTTCCAACTGTGTACTGCAAGAAAACTGCACAGTATTAACTAGTGCTGCACCCTAATAGTTGACCAAACGTTAGCCAACCAGAAAGGTCATTAGTCAGCAAGATTTCATTCGTTGCTTAGTTGCAGAACAAAAAACAAACAAATGTGAAACTATATTAGGAGCTGCACCTTGTCAAAGTAAATCAAAACCTATATGACTGGACCATGTGGGAATTTAATTTGAAAGGACAGACACAGAAAGAGGCCACGCTCAGCAGTCAGACAGGACTCACGTTAATTTCCAGGGCTGGTACCTGTGGTTATTACACAAGCTAGTTAATAACATGTCGGGCAGGAAATCCAAAGTGTGGGATCATTTTGAGAAGGTGAAGGACGAACCCAAGGTGATATGTAAACTCTGCAGGCAAACATTTGCCTATCATTTGTCAACTACAAATGTGATGTATCATCTGAAACATGGAAGTAACTACATGCCCATTAGCCACTAAAGCACAATCATTACTGCTTTGCCGACAGCGTCATTAACAGGCGGCTCGCTCAGTGTGTGACGTGCACTTGTAGATAAAATATAGGCCTATATTAATGAAGGTTCATTAGTACGGTTTGGTATTTCTCTGTAATGTAGCACAGTGTTAACAATGTTACTGATACTGATACTATTCTTTCTCACACCTTCAACTCAAACCATTGTGTTGCCCCGCCCAAATTATATAAATTAATAATTAAATTAATATCATAAACATGTGGGCAACTAGTCGACTAATGGCCCTAAATAATGAGTATACAAAAATTCTTAGTCAGGGGCAGCCCCAGTATAAACAAATATAAGCTGTGTTTTCAGTGTTATAGAGTCACGTGTTCAGTGCATTGACACACCATCCAGCAGATCCCGGATTTTATCCATGTAGATCTCAAAGTAGGAGACCTGCAGCAACACACAAAAAAAGCAGAAGGTAATCTTTTGAATAAAATGGAGACACACAATAGATACAGATAGAGAAAGGATGTAAAGGAGGATCATTGAGCAAATATGCAAAATGATGTCGCAGTAATCTGTCCTCCTGTGGGCCTGGCAAGGTATTATCCTCTATTAGAAGACTGTTGTGTAAAAGGGAAAAAAAGCACAATAAATGTTGCGGGATTATCATGGTTTATATATCATGATTTATTGATGCTTGGTTGCTTCCACTCAGCCCATCCATGTGAGGATTACATCAGAGGCCCAAGCTGTATTCCCAGTGAATGTATCATACAGTAACATTGAGCATGTGCATCCCTGTGTGACCACAACTGCACGCTTGATCACACAGACACACATGGAAATTCATACCAACCTTTATGTGAAACTCTAGGTTCTCATCCATAGCAAATATATGTTCGAAAATGTCCTCTGCGATGCGGGGGATGATTCCCATTCCCTGGGGATCGTGTAAGTTCCCCTGCAAGAAGAAAGAGACAAGATGAGAACATGTGAGTGAAGAGTAGGATAAATGCAGACCCAAGGATGAATTAAGTGGAGAGAATAGTAAAAGAAAGGAGAGCAGAGAGGCTTTTGACTTGAAAAGGAACAGGGTTGTTTCCCAGAGAGAGTTGTAAAGGAGGTTAGTTCCCACAGAAGGCTGGGAAAGAGAGATAGTGAGCGATGACAGTGATGGAGGGAGATGTACTGTCAGAGGAGAGCAGAGGAGAATATAGTCTATTAAAAAAAAATGTGTGTGTGTGTGTGTGTGTGTGTGTGTGTGTGTGTGAGTGCGTGCGTGCGTGCGTGCACCAAGAGGTCTACTTTTGAATTATTTAGTGATACTGTACCTCCATAGTGTGTGTTTTTCCAGAGGACGTCTGCCCATAGGCAAAGATGGTCCCATTGTATCCACCCAGTACATCTATAATGAGAAAAGGAGACACACAAAGCATGTTACAGAAAAAGAAAAGTCTGTGAAAATGGAGAATGGCAGTAAGAGCGCCAAACAAAAACAACATTCAACACAATTGCAGATTTCAGCCAGCCAGGTATGAAAACAATAAGACAGGAAGACAGACAAAGACAAATATCTTTAACCTTTGCGCCAAAGACAGATCTGACTGTGCCACATAAAGCCTGTGTACACTGAAAGGTACGTGGTATTTAAGCTTGGTTAGGTGCTGAATGACCTCTGTGGCTGCACACAATAAACAACGTCCTACCTGCAGCGTTAAAGTCACCAGGAGGCACTCGGCGAAGTAGCAAGCGAGTATGGATATATTATTTTCTCTCTCCATTCATCTGATAGGAGCGGCAGTGAAAACAACACGTTCTGTTGAGGTTGAGGTTATAAAGCAGCTCACTGCTGAATGTCATATTGCTGACACAGTCTAATAAACCCCTGTGGTAAAAGTCAAACATGGATAAAGAAAAACATTTCACCCTGAGAGGCCGGCTGCCACAGGTTAGCTGACCACAGACTAATCATTAAGGCTCCGGCTGAAACAATGCAACTCAGCCGCCAGAGTAAATGTTGCCATTGCACTTTTCTGTAAACTATGGATATGCTACATTTGTACTTTTTATATGTAGCAGTTACACAGAAACTTTTTGTCGCTACAAACGTGGCTGGAAATGTCCCATCCTCTTGTAAAAAAAATACCTGGTTCGTAATTACAAACATGGCTGGAAATGTCCCATCCTCTCATTAAAAAAATACCCGGTTTTGTTGCTACAAACATGGCTGGAAATGTCCTGACATCTCGTTAAAAAACACCCGGTTTTGTCACTACAAACATGGCAGAAAATGTCCCATCCTCTCGTTAAAAAATCCCCGGTTTTGTCGCTACAAACATGGCAGAAAATACTCCATCCTCTCGTTAAAAAATACCCAGTTCGTAACTACAAACATGGCTGAAAATGTCCCATCCTCTCGTTAAAAAATACCCGGTTTTGTCGCTACAAACATGGCAGAAAATATCCCATCCTCTCGTTAAAAAATACCCGGTTCGTAACTACAAACATGGCTGAAAATGTCTCGACTTATCATTAAAAATACCCAGTTTTGTTGCTACAAACATGGCTGGAAATGTCCTGACATCTCTTTCACCATCCACTTCTCCTGTTAAAAAAACATAATCATATACATGTAATCTGAACTACGTCACTTTCTGAACGTTGATATGATATGCATGAAACATACAAATGGAACATATCCGTGGTTTGCAGAAACATACAATGCAACCATTTCATTCTGGTGACTGGGTTGAACAATGAGACACCCTTTCTTCCCTCTCCTCCTCTCCTGTGCTGCCTTTACTCTTGCAGCTCTCAGCTGAGCCACGTCTCCCTCTGCCTCCGCACTGGTCATACTGAGACCGAAACACAGTGTGACACATAATAGAGGAAAGAATAATGAATCTATTTGAGGGAAAACAAAAGGACTGAGACACACTGATTGATTTTCAGCCTCTAATTGTGCAAACAAACATTTCAACGCTACTGTGTCTTCATCAGAGTCAAAGACAAAAAATCAGGTATCTCTTCAAGACACAAAGATAGAACACAATAAGTACAAGCACTGCATCCATGACGTGTAACAAATTAAAGGAAACATGACAAATTCAGTCCTTCATTTAGACGAAAGGGTTCAACTGTCTAAAGAGCATGAATCCAATATGCCTCTCTGCAGCAGTGAGTTGATAATGTCAACACCCCGAGGAGAGGATGACATTTTTTCTTTTCCCCAGGACTTTAATGCAGAGAGAATAAAGAATATGTCTCTGAGCGGAAATAATGACAGTCAGAGATAAGACTGCTACACAACATGAGACTACCACAAAGGAAAAACACAGAAGTAACAGTCAGTAAGAGTGTGAGAGAAGGACAGTGAGGAGGCAAAAATAAGAGGCAGCAAAACAGAAAAAAAAACCCTGACAGAACGACCAAAAGAAAAAAGGAGAGAATGTGTAAACATGAATATGTCTCCAAACCAGCTTTCTCTGGCCTTGCTCGCCCTCTCCGTTACCCTTTTCCCCTGACACATTTCAAATCTCACTTTTCATCTCATTCCTTCATTTTGCTAAAGCCCCAACCTCGAGTTTTTCCAACCCTGCGCCGCGATTCATCTCGCCTTTTTATTTCGTCGTTCCTCGGCCTACTCGGTAATCTCACACTCTGCAAGTAATCTCTCGCACCAAATCAATCTCTTTTTCATGCTCCATCTAGAGCTAGTTCAATGGAGTTCCACATTCGCTTTGAAGGTGGCACAAAAATGAGACCCTAACAGGGGGGCGGTAAAGAGAGGCAGACAGAGGGAGGGGCGAAGGAAAGAAGATTCGACTCTCGTCTGGTTTCGTTTGATCTAGGGACTTTTGGATACGCCGGTCCCGCCATGCTGTGATGAGCATGCATCCTGTTAATCTGTGCATGTTGATGCTCATACCTGTAAGTCATGTGACCACATTATGTCATGGAAATTGGTTTTCTCACTGCTAATGCATGCAGTCAGTGAACAGAGCATAAAACTGACAAAGCTAATACTCATGTATATGGTGATTTGTGGTGTACTGGCTTTCTCTCTCCACTTTTGTGTCTCAAAAAAGCAAACCACTGACGTGGCTCACCTTTGACGATCTGCTTGGCACAGGTGTTGTAGACCTGTAACTGAGTGGCATTCGTGGGGAACACCTGGTCAAACACGTAGGGCTTCCCCTGTGGAGAGGAACACAAGAACAGTCAGCGACACAACGACACAGACAGTTCAAAGAGTTGCTTCACATTGTTGTCAACACCTCACCCTCCCCTGTGACTCCCTGTGAAAACCCGCCCTGGGAAGTTTGTGAAGCAGAGCACAAGGTGTGTGTGTTTGCGAGCACAAGGAAGACTTCCCCATCATGTTTATCTGTAAAACATTATGTAAAGCCATATTGCCACTATAAAAAAGACCCACATCAATATTTCCTTTTACACACAGAGACATGCTTTATAGACGCTGTGTCCATCTGTGTGTAGTCGTCTTGAGTAACAGCGCATATTTCACATTAAGTGGCCCATCTGTCTCTTCTGGGAGGTATGCATCCTGTCTTTGCATCTGATTTTATTTGTGTGTGTTTTTGCACCATGGAGAGCAGTGGGTGTTTTGAATGAGTGCAGCAAGAGGCCTCAGGTGAAAGGGCTGTGCGACCCCAAGAGAGACAGAGAAAGAAATCACATCTGAGGTGAAGCCATTAGTGGCAGCGTTCAAGGACTTGAGGAGTAAAGTGATGGAGTGGAGGAGTAGAGCAGAGGAGTGGAAATGCAGAGAGGGCAGAGGAAAAGTAGATGACCTGAAACTAGTGAAGGCATGTGAGAGAGACAGTGCAAAGAGAAAAACACAGAAAGAGAGAAGGAATAACGAAGTCTCTCTTTTTGTTTTTACTGAATCAAGTGTCAGATAACCAGCCTGTCACTCAGTGAGAAACCAAACAAGTCAGCCAGCCAGCTGAATACCAGCCATTAAACAACTCAAGCAGCCAACCAGCGATGTACTAATTCAACACTCACAGGCTTGGACTGTCACTCAACCAATTAATGAACCAGCAAGCATCTTTGCACTGAAATGTCAGTTCAACCAAATATTCAGCCACTCTGTCCAACACACTCAGTCACACAAGTTCTGGTGATGGAGCAACTGTGAGCTGTCTAGGCTCCTAAATAAAAAATACCTGACTGCTGAAGGCAGTGTGTGTATGCATATATGTATGTGTGTGTGGGTAGAAATAGAAATGTGTATAAAATTTACAGTAGCAGTGTGTGCAATTGTACAAAACAGCCTGGGCCACCCACAAACCCTGCAGACATCCACTGTGAGAAGCACTGTGGAGGCTATCTGACCTTCACAGTATTGTTAAACTCACATTTTTCCACTCTGCGGTTGTATTGATTGCATGACTAACCTTTTGAGCATTGACGGTATATGCTGAGCTGTATAACGTAGGTATGCTGACACTAATGATGTAACATCTCTGTATAAGTTTGCCAAACTTTTCAGTGCAAAGTAGTGCCCAGTATGAAACTCATTACTTTTTTTTCTTAAAGAGATAGTTTGCCAATTTCCAACCTGTATAGTATATGTAATTGAACTGTGATGAACTTCCCCCCAGCTTGCCGGTGCCCAGATCTGTCTGCTCATTACCAGCCAGCTCTGGGTCTGTTGATCAAACCAGAGATGCTCTATAACAACTTATCAATGGTCTCTGCTCAAGCTACCATAGATGTAAAATAATAAGGAACCACAGGGATTGTACTTTGTCATTTATGAGGCAGGTCGCCTGCCTGCTCCCATCATGGACACAAGGAGTGTAGAAGTGGATTGAGAGAGAGCCGCCCCAACCAAACTTAGATCAAACGGTAAAATTAGACAGACATTCATTCATTTTTCGTAACCACTTATACTGTTAGGGGTTGCAGGGGTGCTGGAGCCTACCCCAGCGGACATTAGGCAAGAGGTGGGGTACACCCTGGACAAGTCGCCAGACTATTGCAGGGCTGACACATAGGGACAGACAAACATTCATGCTCATATTCACACCTACAGCCAATTTAGAGTTATCAATTAACCTGCATGTCTTTGGACTGTGGGAGAAAGTCGGAGTGGCTGGAGAAACCCAAAAACCCTAAATTAGACAATGCTGATAAAATATAAACCAATATTCTGTTGCTACATGGTCTAGGCTAATTCTCGCCTAAAATCTTATCAGGAACATGTTTGCTTGTTGTTTAATTGTAATGAGTTTGCGAACAGGAAGTGGCCGCCATACTGTTTCAATGTATCGTGAAAAACAGCAGCGGTTGAAAAACTGGTAAAACTAGGCAGTGCTGACAAGATGTGAACCAAAACTCTGTTACTGCGTAGCCTATTTCTGACATAAATTGTTCTCAGAAACGTACATTAGATTATCATTTATTTGTAATCTGAGATCGTTAGCCGGCCGCCATATTGCTTCCTTCTTTTTAAAACTTCCTTTATTCAATTAGCATAAAGAATACAAAAGGAGGGAGGAGTACAATTATAAACAAGAATGACAAAGAACAAGGGGTACAAATACACTTAAAATTAAGAAGAGGTTTTTAAGACACTGTAAACACACATACTCCTGGTGGCTTTTTAATTTGTCAGTCCTTTTAGTGTTTCTAAGTGCAGTTTCATTTCGCGCTTGAAGGGGTGGATAATGGGCTTCCTTTCAGACCATTTGCTTAAATGGATGAAAAACTTTCCATATAAAATGAGCAGATTCAGTATGAATATATGATCTAAAAAAATAACATCTCATTTCTGTGAATCTAAGTTCCACACATCATAAATGCATTCATAAAATAAATGTATAATTGTTTCTGTGCCAGTTTTACAGAACACACAGGATTCAGAAAGATCATTTCTTGCCTATAGTTTTATAAAAACTGATTTGTTGATAGATTAAGTCTATAATTTTACAATACATTTCACTAACCTTATTGTTGACTAAGTATATGTCGTAATACCATAGTGCTTCCTGTAGTAAAAGTGCTAAGCTTGCATTACGTCAACCACCAGCAGGAGTATTTATTGGTCTGGTGTGGTGCAGTGCATTCTGGTAGTTGTAGTTTTTCTGTCTCGTGAGCAAAAGCAAATGCCACAGCCCTTTTCCTCTGTTTTCTCTTGTCATGTAGCACAAATTTCAAAAGTATTTGCATCTTTCTACTGCAAACCAAGTTTCATGCAAAGATCATTTTTCCAGCAGTGACATTCGTCTCTAATGGCATTTTGTCTTTATTTGATAGTATGACTGTGAAGAGAGACAGAAAAAATAGCCTACATGATGATAAATCAGGTAATAATGTGCAACAAAGGTTCTCAGCTGAACCAGAACTGTCACATCTTAAACCACGTAACCACCCGGACACTGATTTATTTGTATAATTGTTGGAAAGTGCATGGCATCAAATTGCATCATTTTACTTCAAATAAAACTTACTAAAAGTGTGGGGGTCCTAATGCAACCAGACATTGGACTCAGCTTTGGTCTTGACCCTTAATTATAGAAAAGTGACTCAGCTACATCTCTTTCAAGCCCGCAGACTTCTCAAAGGGTATTTCATCTTATGACTGACAAGAAAGGTCTCTTATGTAAAGTGGATGTAGTGTATAATGGACAGGATTTACATTGGCCACAAACCAGCAGCTTTATATTCTATCCTTATTGTCAAGAGGGTTGTATGGTGAGTAGGAAGTGGGAGCTCCATGTTACATAAGCAAGTCATTAAATCCATACAAGCTCTGTGAGTCTTGTTCTGTTCATGCCCCTGTGCTAAGAAAGAGAAGACGATGTTCCCATGGGGGAAACACATCATTATTGTTATTATTATTTGGATAGAAAGACACTTCGCTGATCCCACAGGGAGAAAGATCACAAAAAAAGTTAGGCATTAAAAATGTTTAGAAATAGGAAAAAAAGAGCTGCTCCGGCATGCTGCCACACACAATGCAGCATCTTGCATGTTATTATTTCTGACTGGTCTTAATATGCTCACCAATTGCCTTATAAATGCATTTTACCGTTACATAATCTGCAATAAAGAAAATGACATTTTTCTGCCCTTTATATAAAAGCCACACAACTCGGTAGGATGCTCTAAACTGTGATTATGTTTGCACCAGAAGTCTGGGATAAAATACACCAATAATCCCCTGCACCTCCAAGTATTACATATGGGCCCCGCCGCTTCTCAGCTTTTTAAATGACACATTCAACAACAAGCCTGACACAAAATCCCAGTGCACACAAATATATCAGTGGATTGAATGAAAAGTTCCGTTACAGGCTTTCAAGGATGAATTCTTCTGCAGAATAACTCACAATTTATCATGTTCTCTTTACAGTTCACAGGCACATTACTGTGTTGGTATTCCAGTCACATTCCATTTTAACGCTTTGAAGAATTTTCACCATTGTAGGGCGTACAAAACTGTCATACTGTTAATTGTTTACGATGATCAATAATGCATTATGGGGTGTGATTTTGAATAATGACAGTTTTTTATGATGTCAATATCTTACACAGGCTGAGAGCAGCGACAACACAGCAGGGAAGAAAAATTAATTTGACACAATAATCTGAAGGCATGTAGGCTGTGAAGCTGTGAAAGCCATGAAACAGAAATAAAACTAAGTTATTTCTGTTTCACAGCTTGAATAAATGCCTTCAAATTACTTTGTAAAACTTTAATTTACCAGTTTGTAATCACAAAATGTGTTCTGTGAGCTTTCTTACCCATTTGAACAAATAAATGAGTAATATGTGTTATAATAAGTTAATTCACATATATCTAAATATATGTGATTTAAATGTAGATTAACCACCAAATCACATTAATACAACTGGAGTCAGTTACCATTAACCACTACTCTGCTAAGCTAGCTTTTTAGTTAGCAAGACATGTTTGTCTGCTGTTACTTTTCTTTTCTCTGTTATTATTAACACTGTTTAGCTACTACCCTATTTAAAAACTCAATTACTAACATCATGAAGCATCAAAATGGGTTTTTTCAATAACAGAACAAGTAGAAAAGTGGCTTAAACTAAGTATAGCTGGGGCTATCTCACCAGTTAGCTTTAGCTAGTTTTGGCTAGCTTTAGCGCAGTCACTGCAGTTTGGTGTTTGTTTACCTCTGTTTTGCAGTCTTTTTTTTTCA